GCTAACGGCATTAGTGGTGCCTGAGGGCAGGCTTACCCAACCCAGCTCCGCCCAGACTCACTCCCAGACCAGCCCTCACTGAGAAGGAGAAAGGGACACACCTGGAAGTCCCAGGGCCCCACCCACCACCTGAGGCACTAGAGTGCCTCTCTAGAGGAACAAGAGTTGATAACAGGACACAAAAACAACAGCATAGCCTGTTCCTCCAAGCAAGCGCCACCTACTGACAAGGAGGACACCCTGCACACCCTCTTCACGGCACCTACAGACTCATTATACAGGGAGTGGTCGAACCTCACCCACAGACACCACCTACTGGCTCAGAAACTAAACAAGGCGTGTGAATACCCAAACGAAAACCTAAAGGAAAGAAACAACTGATCGACATGGGAAGAAATCAGTGAAGGAACTCCGGAAATATGAAGAACCAAACAGAAACCACACCCCCAAAGAGGAGCACCAGCCCCTTAGAAACGGACACCAACCAAAATCAGGGAACCAAAATGACAGAAGAGGAATTTCGTATGTGGATCATAAGAAAATTCAATGACCTGCAAGAACAACTCAATAACCAACACGAAGAAACCACAAAAAGCCTCCAGGACCTGGAACAAAAGTTCACTAAAGAAATCAATACAATGAAGAAAAGTTTAACTGAACTCCTGGAAATGAAGAATCAATTCAGGGAACTACAAAATTCAGTGGAAAGCCTCAAGAACAGGGTAGATCAAACAGAAGAAATAATCTCAGAGATTGAAGATAACCCCTTCCAATTAAATAAATCAGTCACAGAGATAGAGCAGAGAAACAAGAGAAAAGAGCAAAGCCTACAAGAGATATGGGATTATGTGAAAAAACCTAATGTGAGGGTCATAGGGTTGCCAGAAGGGGAAGAAGACAACACTCAAAGGTTGGACAAGCTATTTGAAGATACAATAGAGGAAAATTTCCCAGGCCTTGCTAAAAATCTCGATATACAAGTTCCAGAAGCTCAGAGGACCCCTGAGAGATTCAATGCAAACAGGAAGACATCACAACATGCAGTCATCAGACTGACCAAAATATCAACTAAAGAGGCCCTTCTAAGAGCTGTAAGACGAAAGAAGCAAGTGACATACAAGGGAAAGCCAATTCGAATAACACCAGACTTCTCTACTGAAACTTTACAAGCAAGGAGAGACTGGGCTCCCATTCTCACTCTTCTGAAACAGAACAATGCCCAACCTAGAATCTTATTCCCTGCAAAACTAAGTTTTGTATATGAAGAAGAAATCAAGACATTCTCAGATAAGCAAATCTATTTAGAACTCAGGAAAATCAGCAAGAAAAAATCAAACAACCCTATCAAAAAATGGGCAAAGGACATGAATAGAAACTTCTCAAAAGAAGACAGAATAATGGCCAACAAACATATGAAAAAATGTTCAACATCTCTAATCATCAGGGAAATGCAAATCAAAACCACAATGAGATATCACTTAATTCCAGTGAGAATGGCCTTTATCAAAAAGTCCCCAAACAACAAATGCTGGCGTGGATGCGGAGAGACAGGAACACTCCTACACTGCTGGTGGGACTGCAAACTAGTTCAACCTCTGTGGAAAGCAATATGGAGATACCTCAAAGTGATACAAGTATATCTACCATTTGATCCAGCAATTCCACTACTGGGCATCTACCCAAAAGATCAAAAGTCACTTTATGAAAAAGACACCTGCACTCGAATGTTTATAGCAGCACAATTCACAATGGCAAAGCTATGGAAACAACCCAAGTGCCCATCAATTCATGAGTGGATTAATAAAATGTGGTATATGTATACCATGGAGTACTACTCAGCTTTAAGAAACAATGGTAACATAGCACCTCTTGTTTATTCCTGGATAGAGCTGGAACCCATTCTACTAAGTGAAGTATCTCAAGAATGGAAAAACCAGCACCACATGGACTCACCAACAAATTGGTATTAATGGATCAACACCTAAGTGGACATATAGGAGTAACATCTATCAGGTGTTGGGAGAGTGGGAGGGGGAAGGAGGGAGGGGTATATACAACCACAACGAGTAAGAAGTGCAACGTTTGGGGGATGGGCATGCTTGAAGCTCTTACTTGAGGGGGGAGGGAGGCATGGGCAATAAGTAACCTTAACACTTGTACCCCCATAATACGCTAAAATAAAATAAAAATTAAAATTAAATTTAAAAAAATCCTTAATTTAATCACAACTGCAAAGTGCCTTTACTATGTAAGGTGACATATTTATTCACAGGTTCCGGGGATTGGTACATGGCTATATTTGAAGGGGTGTTATTTAGCCTACTGACATACATATAATGGAAGCCCCAGAAAGAGAGGAGGGAGAGAATATTTGAATAAATAATGGTCAAGAACTTCTCTACACATTAAAAACATCAACCTATACATCCAAGAAGTTCAATGAACTCCATGAGGTGTAGACTCAAAAAGATCTGCACCTAGACACAACATAGTCAAATCGTCACAAACTAAAAAGACAGAATCTTGAAAGCACCAGGAGAAGAACAACTCATCGTGTATGAGAGATCCTCAGTCTAACAGCTAACTTTTCTCTAGAAACCATGGCAGACAGAAGCAGTGAGATGAAATATCAAAAGTGCTGAAAGAGGCTGGGCGCGGTGGCTCATGCCTGTAATCCTAGCACTCTGGGAGGCCAAGGCAGGCAGATCGCTCAAGGTCAGGAGTTCAAAACCAGCGTGAGCAAGAGCGAGACCCCATCTCTACTAAAAATAGAAAAATTAATTGGACAGCCAAAAAAAAAAAATAATATATATATATATATAAAATTAGCCGGGCATGGTGGCGCCTGCCTGTAGTCCCAGCTACTCGGGAGGCCGAGGCAGTAGTAGGATCATTTAAGCTCAGGAGTTTGAGGTTGCTGTGAGCAAGACTGATGTCACGGCACTCTAGCCCAGGCAAGAGAGTAAGACTCTGCCTCAAAAAAAAAAAAAAAAGTGCTGAAATAAAATAAAAAATTCTTCATCCAGCAAAATATATGTTTATCTTTGAAAAATGAAGAAGTTAAGAAATTTCCTGATAAGGACTGAGATTATTCATTGCTAACAGGCCTTTCCTAAAAGAAATACGAAAGGGAGTCCTTCGAGCTGAAATGAAAGGACATAGACAGTAATTTAAATCCACAGGAGAAAATAAAGAACACCCATAAAGGTAAATATAAAAACTAGTATAAATATATTATTACTTGTAACTCTTTTCTTCTCCACATAATAAAAAGACAACTGCGTAACCGAAAAATTATAAAATGGTATTGTGGATGTCACTGGTGCCACCAGCCTGATGGACATCTCCTAGCCTGGGGTAGAAACATCATCATCTTTGGGCACATGAACAAGTGGTGAGGCTGCCCACTGGAGTGCACCTTTGGAAAGAGCTGGTTTGTGTCCTTTTGTACATTCAAGTCCTGGAATAGGTATCGACCACTTTAATACTAAACTCCTTTAACTGTGGCTGCTCCATGTACAGTTGCAGCCTCCTTCCTCAAGACCAAAATCCAACTCCTCTCCCATGTCTGGCTAGCCAGATGTGGAATGCTACCCCTCTCTGTCCCGATCACACCCCCGGACTCACCACCCTCCCTTCAATCCTGGCTCTCTGCGCATGACGCAGGCAGATGGCACGCCTCACGATTGCCAGAGTCACCACCACCACCTGCCAAAACCCATAACTGACCTCCACAACACCCAGTTACAAAGTCCTGATTTCATATTTATGCTAAAGGACCCCACCAACCACGCAGTCCCAGGTGTACTGCATGTTCTCAACCGGAGGCAGTGGAACCCCCTGCTGCTTTCATTCTGGTCTCTCCAATGGATGAACTGGTCACTACCAGAGCTGCCTCTCTTGCTTCTCAAAAGTCTTCTAATATTTATACTGATTCTCATTTGCTTCTGGAGTTGTTCATGAGTATGAGCAATGGTCAGAACACCGATGCTTTCTAACATATGGAGGAAGTAAAGATTGTCTAAAAGTGTGTCCTGCCCACACCCTGAGAAAATGTGTTGCTCACTAAAAACGACACGGTTATGGTTTGTGTAAAGAAGATTTGGCTTTTAGAAAGGCAGTGAAAGCAGACCCTGTGTTCGGGGTCCTCTTGCAACTCAGTTTCTGAGGCTGGGCCTTGAATCCAGGAAACCATCCTGGAAACTGGCAGGGTGTCTTCTGCGCCAAGATAATATTTGGCGCTCCCCAGGATGGCCACTTGGTGGCACAGAAAGGTTTTGCTCTTCCCCTTGCTGATCCTGTTTGAGTAAGCCAGTTGCACAAATCCAGGGGAAGGTGTGTCAAGAGGAAAAGAGCAGCTAAGCCTCGTGATGAAGGGCCACTTGAAAACATCGAGAATGAAGAAAGGTTGGGGATCTGAAAACGATTTGGTGAACTGTGAACTGTGTCAGGACCGTGTGCTCATGTGCAAACGTCACCATCAGCAAAGGGCCCCGACAGAGGTTTTATTTCCAGGGTTGGTCACTGTGGTCCACTAAAGAGTGAAGGGACTCACGCATTCCGGGGCAGACTGTAACAGAAGTTCGAAAATCCACAAAAGCAAATTAAAACTACACTCAGGTACCATCTTCTATCCAACCTGTGGGCAAAGCTCAAAAAACAGGGTACCGACATATAGTGCTGGGGGGTGTCAAGGAGTAAGTTCTCTCCTGTGTTGCTGGTGGGGTCTAAACTGAAGCAACATCCATGGAAAGCAATTTGGCAACAGCTAAGGCAGTTCACAAGTGCACTTCCCATTTCTAGGAATGTATCCTACTCACATATGTGAATGTCACCTTGGGGCAATTTTATGACATTGGAGGAAACATTTAAAATATCTGTAATATGGAATTTGTGAAATAAATTATGAACACCCACGTAACAGTAGGTTGTGTGGTTGTACAAAGGGAGAGGTTCTGGGGAGCCCCACCCAAGACCACCACCCAGACCCGTTTGTTCACCATTTGTGAGGTTCTCCAGCCATCAGCGATCGCTTGCTCCAGCTCTTCCCAGGTGACCATGGTGACTTCTTCACCAGGAACCAAAGATAGCCTCCGGCCCACTTGCTTCTGGCAATCACAGATAAGACCCCTAGTTTAATCCCAGAAAGTTTAGGGACAGACCTGGGTTTACAGGATTGGGTGGGGCCTTCCATGGCCCTAGCCCCTAGGAGAATTCATTGTCTTTCAGATAACCAGCAAATCTTGGGAGACTGGTTCTTTTTCTCATGTGGACCCCCAGTAGAGCTCTGGGCAGGAATGGAAAGGATTTTGCCCTCAGTCCACAGGCAAAGACCCACCCTGGAGGGATGCAGACACCCCGAGTGGGAGTCTGGACATGCCCTGAGAGAGCCAGGCTGAGGACAACCATCCCCCGGCCCCTTGCAGGGCCCCTTCCCACAGGACTGGCTGAAATTACCAGGAAGTATTCCCGTTCTCTGATCAGCTTCTCTAGATCATCGACCTTCTGGAGGAGCTCCTGGAAGAAGAGGTCAGGGATGGGGGACCCAGCAGCTCTGCCTGTGGCCCTACACACGCAGGCTCACAGTCAGCGAGAGAGAGCAAAGGGTGTGTTTCCACCTGGCTAGTAAAGCCAGGCTCAGTTCCTTTCCCAGCCAACGAGAGGAAGCGCAGTGGGGTGCACTGGGGGCTGTGCTGGAGGACAGTGCTCCAAGAATGAATGCTGCTGCAGGGACTGGAAGGGCTGGTCCCAGGTGCATCCACACTACCGCTCGCAAAACCTCAAGCACGGCAGGATGAGGCCCACCTGGTCTCTCAAGGATAAAAAGGTACCAGGTACTTCAACAGCGTCTGAATGTCTGTGCTGTTTAAAAAAGAAAAGCACCTCAAAAGAACCAAAGCAAATTGCTAAAAGTTAAGTTGCTCCTTATAACTTATGCAAACCTCCAGAATCTAAGATTAACTAAAAAACAAAAAAAACACAAAACAAAAACTCTACTACACTTTAAAATTTGAAAACAAAAGCAGTTATGTTTCCCAGAGCAAAAGCGAGTGGTGCTTTGGTCGCTGGGCCCGGGGTGATACAGGCCAATGGGACCGGCAGCCAGGTGTCCCTTGGTCCTTGGCCTCTCTGTTCCCTCCCTTCCTACTTCCCACCCTCCCCTAGGCTTTCTCCCTCATTGCTCCTCCTTTTTCTTCCAGGTGCAACCCCCCCCCCAAATCTGGCAAACAGGGCTCTACCATATGCCCATGCGCCCAATTACCTTCTTTTTTTTTTTTTTTTGAGACAGAGTCTCGCTTTGTTGCCCAGGCTAGAGTGAGTGCTGTGGCGTCAGCCTAGCTCACAGCAACCTCAGACTCCTGGGCTCAAGCGATCCTGCTGCCTCAGCCTCCCGAGTAGCTGGGACTACAGGCATGCACCACCATGCCCGGCTAAGTTTTTCTATATGTATTAGTTGGCCAATTAATTTCTTTCTATTTATAGTAGAGACGGAGTCTCGCTCTTGCTCAGGCTGGTTTCGAACTCCTGACCTCGAGCAATCCACCCGCCTTGGCCTCCCAGAGTGCTAGGATTACAGGCGTGAGCCACCGCGCCCGGCCCCAATTACCTTCTTGAGGGGAGTTGGCCTGTTTTGTGATTCCTGCTGTTTGTTGGAGGATACTTATGCTGAATGATTTGTGTGTACTTCTCCCTCCAAGAAAATAAAAGCTCAAGTGAAATCGTCCCCTGCCTGCTTGGGCTTGTGTCATAACCACAGGGAGATGGGGTCTCACTCTCCATCCTGACTCCTTTGCTCTTGGACTGGCTTTGTTTTTCAACACAATCTCCTATTTCTTCTTTTAAAAAGGGAATTCTGGCCGCGCATGGTGGCTCACGCCTGTAATCCTAGAACTTTGGGAGGCCGAGGCGGGAGGATCCCTTAAGGTCAGGAGTTTGACACCAGCCTGAGCAAGAATAAGACCCCATCTTTACTATAAATAGAAAGAAATTAATTGGCCAACTAAAAATATACAGAAAAAATTAGCTAAGCATGGTGGCGCATGCCTGTAGTCCCAGCTACTCGGGAGGCTGAGGCAGAAGGATTGCCTGAGCCCAGGAGTTTGAGGTTGCTGTGAGCTAAGCTGACGCCACGGCACTCTAGCCCGGACAACACAGTGAGACTCTGTCTCAAAAAAATAAAAAATAAAACAAATAAATAAATAAAACAGGAATTCCGGCCAGGCATGGTGGCTCATGCCTGTAATCCTAGCACTCTGGGAGGCCGAGGTGGGTGGATCGCTCAAGGTCAGGAGTTCGAGACCAGCCTGAGTAAGAACGAGACCCCCCCCCCTTTTTTTTTTTTTTTTGAGACAGAGTCTTGCTTTGTTGCCCAGGCTAGAGTGAATGCCATGGCGTCAGCCTAGCTCACAGCAACCTCAAACTCCTGGGCTCAAGCAATCCTGCTGCCTCAGCCTCCCGAGCAGCTGGGACTACAGGCATATGCCACCATGCCTGGCTAATTTTTTCTATATATATATATCAGTTGGGCAATTAATTTCTTTCTATTTATGGTAGAGATGGGGTCTGGCTCTTGCTCAGGCTGGTTTTGAACTCCTGACCTCGAGCAGTCCGCCTGCCTCGGCCTCCCAGAGTGCTAGCATTACAGGCGTGAGCCACCTCGCCCAGCCAGCGAGACCCCTTCTCTACTAAAAAATAGAAAGAAATTAATTGACCAATTAAAAATATATAAGGCTGGGTGCAGTGGCTCAGTGCGGTAAGTGGCGGGTGAAGCCAGGGTAAGCAGGCCCAGGAAGGAAGGGTGTGGGATGGAGCCACTGGGCTCTCCAAGGTGGGATCTCTGGAGTCCTCACCTTGGGCGTCATCTCAGAGGACATGTTTTGCTGAGTTTCTTTCAGGACTTTCACATCTTCTATGACATCCCGAAGCAGCTCCATGGTCTGTAAGGTAAAGCATGGGCCACATGGGACCAGGCTGGACCAAGGCGCAGCGCCCCGTGGGTCTGGACTCAGCTCCCGCCAGGGCTGGAGGGCGACCTGGAGCGGCCCCCCTGTGCACTCACCATCTCGGGGGTGATCTCTGCCATGACTGGCCTGATTTGCGCCAGGGCGGCGTCCTTCATGCTTTTTGTCAGGCCTGTTTGCGCCTTCTCCTGCGACGGCCTAGGATGCGACAGCTTCTGCTGTGACGGCTTATGATGCGACGGCCTCTGCTGCGCTGGCCTCTGCTGCGACGGCCTCTCCTGCCACTGCGTCTCCTGCCACGTCATCTCCTGCGACAGCATCTCCTGCGATGACATCTCCTGCAGTGGCCTCTCCTGCAGTGGCCTCTCCTGCAGTGGCCTCTCCTGCAGTGGCCTCTCTTGCAACAGCCTCTCCTGCGACGGCCTCTCCTGCAACGGCCCCTCCTGCAACGGCCTCTGCTGCAACGGCCTCTCCTGCAACGGCCTCTGCTGCAACTGCCTCTCCTGCAATGGTATCTCTTGCAATGAAATGGACGCGAGCTTCTCCATCAGCCACTCCCGGGTGTCCGCGCCCAGCCCCTCGGCCTGGGACATGAGCTGCACGTGGCTGATGATGCCCTGCACCTGGCTGTCAATGGTCCTGAGCTGCTTGTTGAGGAACTGCACCTGGCCGGTCAGGTCCTTCATCTGGCTGTCCAGCGCCGGTGGGGTGGGCTTGAAAATGCTCCGCCTCCTCTCCCGGAGCGCGGCCACGGAGGCAGATGGCGCGGAGGTCCCCGAGGGCTGCTTGCGCAGCTGCTGGGCGCTGAACGAGGCCTGCAAGGACTCCTGCGAGCGGCTCTGCTCCGGGGGGGAGACGAAGGGGATCCGTGTGTCCAGCAGGTTGAGGTTCTTGAGCATGGCCACGATGAGCGTGTGCAGGGCTGTGAAGTTGACGGCACCCACCTCCGGGGTGCCGATGGCGAGGTCGGCCAGCTCGCGCAGGGAGACCGTGGGTACGGCCATCGCGGGCGGCGTCGTGCGACCGGTCAGGAGCGGTCCGCGCTCGCGGGGGCACAGGCGGCCATGCTCCCCTCACTCCGTACCGCGCCTTGGGGCTTTTCGGGGACCCTGCGAGGCCCCTGGGGCTCCCCTGCCCCTGGGCTCTTCCGCGCGCCCGAGCGACGCCGAGTGACAGTCACAGGATGGAGCCTGGCCACTTCCGACTCCCGCCTCTGGGGAATCAGCGCCCACACCTCCCCGGCGGGGTCCAGGACGGGGTCTCCAGGCCGGAGCCTTGGCCCCCCACCGGTCGCGCCGGCGGACGTTTGGAACGCGAGGTGGCCCCGTTCGCGCTCCGGTTGTGAGGGCCCCCCCGCGTGCCCCGAGGATTCTGTCTGAGAACGCGCCCTCGCCAAGGGCCACCACAGGTGGGGGCCTTCTGTACTCAAAACGACCTCCAAAGTCACAAGGGAAGCCTCAGCCATGGCCCAAGGCGCCACTACTTTTTATTACTAGTAAACCTCCCCAAAACAGGTGCAAAAGGGCTGTGCCCCGGCATTTGCATTAGTGATGCGTGTTTTGGGGGTGAGGAGACTAAGATTCAGCTAGACCGCATCCATCCTCTTAACCTGGAAAGAACTGCCCGCTCTTACGGGGCCACTTAAGGATAGATTTAAGGGTATCATAGCAACCACGTTCTGTGGCATAAGCTGTGCCCACTACATAGGACAGTAGCACATGTCTAAGAGATGCAGTCCTGGGGCCTTGGCCCCTTGGGGACAGATCCCATATTTTGTTCAACCAAAGGTGAGGCAACTTGGAAAAGTGGCCCCACTAACCAGGTGTTTCCAGTTAGCCACAAGATGACCATCCTTTCTTGTGCTGCCCTAGCCTGATCTCAAAACACATTCATTTAGTCAAGTGCCAGCACTCAGCTCATTACAGGCAAGACTAGAGGAATCTGAAGGCCTCCATAATTTGAGGCATGACTTCCCCATATCCGATTCTTCCAGAAAATGTGTAAATAAAACTTCATAACAAGTACTGACATGCAGCAAAGCTACTCAAAGAAAACCTGCAAATGCGTCTGTACTTTGTAGTTGGTCCTCATCTGTGGGTTCTGCACCCTTGGGGGCTGGGGCGGGGTGACAACAGTTTTCTGTACTCAACATGTGGACTTTTTCTGGTCATTATCCCCTAAACAATACAACTATTTACCTTGTTACATATTGTAAGTAATCCACAGATGATTTAAGATACATGGGAAGATGTGCATAGCTTGCATGCATATACCACTCTTGTTTTAAGCAGGAACTTAAGCATCCATGGATTGTGATACCCAAGGGAGTCCTGGATCTAATACCCCCCCCAGATACTGAGAAACAACTGTATTAACAACTTGTCAAATTCAGATTTCTAGTTTAGTCTGAGTTGGTACTGTTTAATTGAAGGATTTTTGTTCATTATATTCCCAATACCTGAAGCATAATAGGCCCTCAACGACTGATATCAAAAATAAGTTCTGGCCGGGCGTGGTGGCTCACGCCTGTAATCCTAGCACTCTGGGAGGCTGAGGCGGGCGGATTGCTCGAGGTTGGGAGTTCGAAACCAGCCTGAGCGAGACCCCGTCTCTACTAAAAATAGAAAGAAATTAATTGACCAACTAAAAATATATATACAAAAAATTAGCCAGGCATGGTGGTGCATGCCTATAGTCCCAGCTACTTGGGAGGCTAAGGCAGGAGGATCGCTTGAGCCCAGGAGTTTGAGGTTGCTGTGAGCTAGGCTGACGCCACGGCACTCACTCTAGCCTGGGCAACAAAGTGAGACCCTGTCTCAAAAAAATAAATAAATAAATAAATAAGTTCTGAGCGGGGCAAAGTGGCTCACACCTGTAATCCTAACACTTTGGGAGACCAAAATGGGAGGATCGCTTGAGGTAAGGAGTTTGAGACCAACCTGGACAAGAGACCCTGTTTTTACCAAAAATAGAAAAACAAACAAACAAAAAAACAACTTAGCTGGGCATGATGGTGTGTCCTATAGTCCCAGCTACTTGGGAGGCTGAGGCAGGCGGATCCCTTGAGCCCAGAAATGAGGTTGCAGTGAGCTATGATGACCAACAGAATAGGACTTTGTCTTGAGAAAAAAAAAAATTGTTCTTTGTACTCTTTTATGCACTTATGCTCTTACCTTAGAATATGTAAAGAAAGGTCCCAAAGTAAAGCCGTGGGATGGAGAACTGGCTGTCCCGAGGTGCTAGGCCTGCCCACAGGTAAGAAAGACACTTTCTCATTTCCAAGTCCAGGGACCTTCCAGAATAATGCCAGCAGCCACATTACTACATTTTGACCAGAATGTCAGCTCCCAGAGTCCTCGCATGTTGATTTTTACATCCCTAAGGCTTAGTATCTTGCCAGGAACATAGCAGGACTCACTAAATACCAAAGGAAACGGTAGCATATTCTAATCCCAGGAACTACTGTATATTCTACTAGATACTTTTGCTAATTAAGTACATTTTAAAATTTCTACCCTTGGAGATATAGGAGAGAAAACATTAGCTGGAGGTATAAATGGAATTTTAGACTTGAAAAGGACCTCAGTTTTCAATTCCAAACCTCCTTTTTCACAACTAATGACAGAGCCCCAGAAAGACTACTCATCTGCCTGATGTTACAAACAAGAAGCAGCTCTTCCTCTACCATCACGCTAATTATCTGAATGATTGAGCTCTTTGCTCAAGTTCCCTTACTTGGTCTTCTAACAGTAGCTAGCCTACTTGTGTGCTTAAAAAACCTAATGTGCTGAAAATCTTGAATGTGGGTTGGGAGCTTTTCTTGTCATTAGGAAAGGGATAAAATACCAAGTAAACTTTTCTTTTTCCCACAGAGAAAAAACAATTGTACAAATATAAGAATTCTGCCTCTCAGGAGCGAACAGAACCAATAAGCAACTCTAATTCATTTCCCAGCAGACACTCCTCTTTCCTATGACATTTGGTCCTGAATTGGACCAGGCTCAAAGGTATAAAAAGCAATTCTACCTTTGCAGTAAGGCCTCCCTAGCAAAGGCAGTGCAAACTAGAATTGTGATGATGGAATTTAAAATGTTACAGGTTCTAATAATTAATAAAAAAATATAAATTTAAAAAAATGTTGGGAAGGGCCAAATGCAACCCTAAGTATTAATAATACAATAAACATGAGTGTTATGTATCACACAGGAAAAAGGACAATCATTCTATTTTTTCTTTAAATTTTAAATATATTACTGAACAAGGATTTATTCATCATGTCAATGCTCAGCAAGGGGAAGGAACCTGGAGAATAAGACTGACCAGCCAAGGAGCTGACCACCCTTTATTCTGCTGTCCATGGTCTTCTACACAGTTTGGACATAACATAGTCACCATCCAGTGGAGCACATAGGTCTTCAGTGTAGTGAAGACGCTAGGGAGACGACAAATTCTTTTATTTGCAACTTCAGAGCCACACAGACACCCAGAGATGGGACACTATTTTCTAATCTGATGTCCTTGGGAGGCACAACAACATGAATGCTTCGTTGTTTAATGGCTGTAGGCACAGCGGTTTCTGAAAGAAAAACAGGATTCTCTATAAAAGACATGAAATTGACTGGGGAGAGAACAACTGGACAGAAACAGTGTGGGGACTTGGCTTCCCTGACCAGGTTCAACGTCAACACTTGCGCTTCTCTGCAGCTGAAACAACTGAATAATCAGTACAGAGCTATTGGCTTTATCTGCTTTTAACTCTTCAGCATCAACAAGATTTTCAGATTCTTTTCAGGAAAGCGTCTATAACTTCTGTTTAAGGAACTGGGATGATGATGGCAGACATTTAAGGCCAAGTTATTTATGTATTAGCTCTGTCTTCTTCTTGACTATCTTAATGGCTCCTACCCACCAACCTTGGTGACAGAGACTAACTCCAGACTATTTCCAGTCCTCCTTTGCACATAGCTGTGCACATAACTGACGGCACTGCTTTTTACATGTTTTCCTTAGGCGTTCCAGCGGCAAGGCTAGTGAAAGCTAGTCATCCACAGTGATGTTTCGGAAAAGGTAAGCCATGGATTCTCCATTGTGGATTCTTCGAATTGCTTCAGAAAGAATCAAACTGATATCCACTGTCTTGATCTTGGGACACTGTAGCTTCTGTACCTCATGAGGGACAGTATTCGTCACCACCACCTAGTTGTACAGCAATAGAAAGTAAACACTGTTACTGACGTGCCCCCCCAAACTGGTCACTCAGAGAAGCTTATCTAACATTTAGTAGTACCCAGAGCCTAAGTTCCAAACTATAAAACCTTGTTCCACTGAGTATAGTTTTTATACACTGAACCAGCTTTATGCAAAGGAAAAGTTACATGGCTCAGAACATAAGACTCACATGCTACGAATATCATGGTCTACAAGTTGAAATATGGTGAGCCCTGGCACTGTGCAAACTTTCATGTTTATCAAGGAAGGATTTAAGTCATAAGAGAAATGCTACCACAGTGTAAATTAAAGTACTGAAGCAAATCTTTATGCAAATAGACATATACAAATGCTCCTACACTCATGATAGGGTTATGTCTGGATAAATCCATAAGTTGAAAATGCGTTCAATACATCTAACCTACCAAACACCAGAGCTTAGCTTAACCTACCCTAAATGCATTCCAAATATTTTCATCTAACACAAAATCTATTTTATAATGAAGTGTTAGATAGCTCATGTAATTTATTGAATACTATACATTACTTCGAAATTGCAATGGTTTCACACCATCGTTAAGTTGAACATAATTTGGGGATGGTCGGTATTTCTAAAGACACATCTGCCCCAACAAATGGCTAGCCAGCAAAAGCACCATTTCATAGGTACTCTAGAGAGAGATTAAGCAATTTAATATTGCCTGAGTCATTATATTATTCCCAGAAAATACAGCAGCAAATCTTGACTCAAGCCCTTTAAAAACAGACCTCATCAACAGATGACTCCTCAATCAGGCGGGGGGCGTCTGCAGACAGGATGCCGTGGGTGGCCATGACGTAGATCTTGTAGGCACCTCTCTCTTTCAGGATCTCTGCAGCAGCCACAAAGCTCTCCACATCGTCAATAATGTCATCCTGCGAGAACAGCATGAGTCTATATGAAGGAAACACCCTCCATCCCAGTCTATAAAGACACATACCTCTCTGCTGTTTTCTGCACTTGGTTTCAAAGGATTTCTGATTGAAGATCAGAGCTATGTGGCTGGGTCCAAGACTGAACATCCAGAAATGGCAAGAGAAGTGCCCTGATAGCACTGTGTGTGTTTGTCAGAGAAGTGCCCTGACGCCTTACAGTCGAGCACATGTGACGTTACAGCTAGAGTTGAGGACTGCCAAGACTCGTCCCTGCTTCAAATTTCCGATCAATCCCACACAGCCAGTACCCCATTTATTTATTTTTCCCCAAGAGAAAGCGACCTGAGGGGAAAATTAAAATAAAGTAAGCTACTGCAAAGGACCGGTGACCCACAAGCCAGCAAACACATGCCAAAGCACAAAATGAGTGTGTGTGGGTCACATGTTCTTTCTCATGAAAAAGGAACAGCTCATGTTCAGTTCACCTCGTGGCCCTAGAGCTGCAGGATGATGAAGCAAGCTGGCATGAGGGAACCGAGAACCTGTAAGATGAAGGTTATAGTGCTGAACTGTCTAACGGGAGGTACTGTGCTCATTTTATATGTAGGTTATACTTTAATCCTTGTTATCTATATAGAAATTTCTGCTACTTGTACTGAGGGAGTTTAGGTGATGAGGAAGGATAGATGGATCCACTTAAATTTATCATTACTAGAAACATAGTTCCAAAGTGGACAACCTACTGACTGACAGCCAGTAGGCTCATCTTTGCACGTGAGGGACAACACATAACCATACCACTATGATCGCGATGCGGCCTCCAACATCTCCGACGACAGTTATTGGTGGCTTCTCTTTGGCCATCATCACTAGCAAAACAAACCACAAGATCCCAGTTATTCATGTATCACTAGATACACATAATCACCACCTCGCTCCCTGGAAGTGGGGGCAAAACCACTGCACAGACAGAAAAAAACCATATGGATTCCTCCTCAAGGATCTGGGGTGTCTCAGAAACATAGCAGCCCTGGCCAACAGAAATAGAAGGTGAGCCACGTGTCACATTAAATTTTCTAGTAGCCACATTAAAAAGTAAAAGCAAACAGATGAAATATATCTTATTTTACACAGTATACCCAAAATATTATTATTTCAACATGTAACTGATATAAAAAATTTATTCATGAGATTTCGTAATATTAAGTCTGTGCTATTTGGTGTGTGTATCATTCCTCAGTGGAGACGAGCCACATTTCACCAGCTCAGCAGCCGCCACAGTGCACAGCACAGGCTGAAAAGACAGAGAAGCAAAGCAAGGAAGGTTCTGCCACCACGACAAAGCTGCACTGCAATGCCACAGGGGAACAGCTCCTGCTGAGACTGACAGGATATGCAAAAGAAATGCTGCTCTGCAGAAAATAAGGAAAGGCTGCCAGATCAAGAGATGGTTTTACTTCATTTTCTTCCAAAGTCACCTTATTTTGACAACGTAACCTTATTATCACATAACTGCACTCCGCATGTAATCAGAGTTTCTTCAAAATCAGGACATAAAAACAACTACAAGCCCATTATGTTTTCCTGATTTAACTGGTTCTTAAAGTAGAGGCTTCTTACCTCACTACAAAATCTGCAGCTGGAAAAAGCCATCTGTCTACAAAGCAACTACAGGAAAGAGAAAGGAAACAAGAACTCACCCTCAAAAGGATGTCAGTAAACTGAGAGGAAAACCAAAGACTTTCTACAGAACAGGCTAAGTATTCTACTTTTTTTTTTTTTTTTACAGCTTTTGATTATTCTGAAATATTTATTAACTAGCAGTGGGGAAAGGGAAGGGAATAAAATTCAGGGTAGGCCAGGCGCAGTGGCTCACGCCTGTAATCCTAGCACTGCGGGGAGGCAGGCGAATTGCTCGAGGTCAGGAGTTCGAAACCAGCCTGAGCAAAAGCGAGACCCCATCTCTACTATAAATAGAAATTAATTGGCCAATTAATATATATATAGAAAAAAACAGCTGGGCATGGTGGCACATGCCTGTAGTCCCAGCTACTCGGGAGGCTGAGGCAGGAGGATTGCTTGAGCCCAGGAGTTTGAGGTTGCTGTGAGCTAGGCTGACGCCATGGCACTCACTCTAGCCTGGGCAACAAAGTGAGACTCTGTCTCAAAAAAAAAAAAAAACCTAGGCATGGCTAGGATCAAGGCTTACAAAGGCTAAAAGAAAGCCTTTCTCCCCAATATACTCATCCCTGTATTTAGGACCTGGATAAAACTGAACACATAATTTGGTGGTTATTATAAAACAGAGACAGACTTTGTTACAGGGTAGAGGAAAATGACTAGTACCTCACAGGCCAACAATTTTCTAATAGCTTACTCCAAAAATAAAACACTAAAAATTCCAGTGTTTCATAAATGTATGTACTAACAGTCAAGAATAAAGGGTGCTTGCTCGCTTCGGCAGCACATATACTAAAATTGGAACGATACAGAGAAGATTAGCATGGCCCCTGCGCAAGAATGACACGCAAATTCGTGAAGCGTTCCATAAAAAAAAAAAAAAAAAAAGAATAAAGGGTGCTAAAACTATGTTTAGATTCAGCTCTTTTTCCATCTTGTCAAACAAAATGAATAAAGTGAATTTTATTTATGAATAGAGGAAATATGCAACATTGTGAAAACTACAACTGCAATAAAAATGTCTTCAATTCATTAAGTGATTTCTAGTGGTTTTATGAAGGAAGTAGGAAACTGTCTTTTAATTTTAAAATTAGCATTTTCCAAGTAAAATAATGCTACATTTACAACCATCCTTAGATTACAAAAGGATCAAGCATGCTTGCACAAGCATGTGCACACCTTCACTCTTTTCTTGGAATCAATTAACCAAACCTTCCTCTGCTAACATAAACAGCAAAAAGACTATGGGGAATCATTCATTCCTTACCCATTTTGATCTTGGTCTATTTTTCTAAATCTAGTTCAATGGAATGCCAAGCTTTATCAACAGACATTAAAAAGAGATGTATAAGTCTATAGGGGAGATAGAACTGAATTCACAACCCTACCTACATACATGCAAACAAGTCAAAATTGACATTTAACAGGTATTCAAGAGGAGCTAATGCCTGTCTTCACTTAAGTGGTGAAAAGCACATCTTCACTTGGAAAATTAACAAGCCAGGAAAAGCAAGCTAGAAAAGGTGACTTCCTCTCACTTTTATGATCCATTCCTCCCACCTCAGCCTCCCAAAGAGCTGGGATTCCAGTTGTGAGCCACCAAACCTGGCCATACAACTTCCTTTACTTCACTTGTAATAAATTACTCTGAAACAGGGTTTCTCAACCTTAGCACATTTTGGATGGGAAAACAGTTTGTCACATGGTAGGATACTGAGCAGCATCTCTGACCTCTACCCACTAGAGGACAGCAGCACCCCACCTCCCCCTGGTTGTGACAAACAGAAACATCTCCAGACAATGCCAAATATCCTGGTGGAGGGGGATCACCCCTAGGTAAGAACTGTTGCTCTAATAAAAGAATGGGCTAAAGGAAGATGAAATAGTTCATCAAGGGTGAATATGCTCATAATTTTAACATAAGATACGATTAATTACAAAGGGAAAAAAAGTAACTTTGCAGTAGAGAAACCCACCGGACATTGCCTTAATTGACTGAGCAGAATCCACACATCAACAGTAACGGGACACATCACGTGTCTCCTGTGATATTCCTGCCAAAGCTGCATAACCCAAATATAATCATGAGGACACAATAAACAAGCCTCAATTAAGGGACAGTCTACAAAATAACTGGCCTGTACTGTTCAAAAGTATCAAGGTCATAAGAAACAGAGAATAAAAGAGCTATTCCAGATTAAAGAAAAATGACAATTGAGTGCAATGTGTGACCCTGGATTAAGTACTGGACCAGAAGAGAAGGTTTTCCCTTGCTTTAAGGGACACTGGTGGGACACAATTGGTGAAAATTGAATAAGGTCTGTAGATTAGAGTACTGTAACAACATTAGTTTCCGGAGTCTGATAATTACACTCTGGTTGTGTAAGAGAGTCATTTTTACAAAATATACACTGAAATATTTAGAAATAAAGGGACATTGTATCTTTAATTAACTCTCAAATGGTGTAATTAATAATAATATGCACATAAATGTTAAATTTGGGGACTCTTAGTGAAATATATAATGGAAATCTAGAAATTTCAACTTTTCTGTAAGTCTGAAGTTAGTTTGGAATAAAAAGCTAAACAAAGAAGTGTACATTCTGGAGCCAGCTATCTCATTCCCAGACCTGGCTGTCTCCTGGTCAGCAGAAGGAGGGACAATAAAGTCCCTACATGGTAAGTTGTGTGAGTGCCAAATGCAATGATCTTCTAATGTGCTTAGAATAGCTCTTGGCACATAATAAGGGCTCAACAGATGTTTATTATTATTGGAGCTTTGTTTTCCTAGCCAAAGATTGGAAAAGACCTATAGGTCCACCAACAGGGGACTAATTAAATACATTATGGTATATTTATTTAAAAAATACTATGAAACTAAAAAAGACAAAAATCTGTATGTACTGCTAGGGAAGGAGCTACTGAATGGAAAAAGGAAGGAGCAGAACATGTCTAATGCACTACCATTGTGAGACAAAAATAAATATGTATTTTTATACTTAAAACCTGACTGGATACACAAGAAACCAAATGAACTGGAGAGATCTGATTAGCTGGGGGCAGAGAAGAGTTTGGGGAAAGCTGGGAGGCTCTGCACTGTAAAGGATTATACTTTTGAACTTTGAAATATGTGAATCTATTACCTATTCCAGAATTTTAATTATGAAATCCTCAAAAAATAAATAAAATGCTGGTACCAAAATTTTTAATTAAATAAAAGTATATTACAGTACTTGTCTCTCCTATATAACAATCTCCAAAGTTGAAAATAAAGCAATGGGAGATTTATAGGGTGAAAAAAAAAATGAGAATGTTTATACCTTAGATAAGCGCCTGCCTGCATGTACCCATGCTAATACTTCCTCACCCTACTAATTTCTGTATGTTTCTGAGGCATGGCAAATAGCTACAGAAATAATATCCCTCCTCTAAAAACCTTAACCCTTTGCACTCGCTTGTTTTCTCATTATCCACTCAACAGTATCCACACTCGACATCCGAGTGCAATGGGTTAAACATTATCTTCCAGTATAGGATGCTTATAGTTATCCCCACTCCAAAATCTGAAAGTAGATAGCTTCCACACTGTTGGATTAGTAACAGCAAACTAGTCGAGTATGAGGTCCAAGGGAAATATACTGGAAAAATAAATACTAAAAGTTATGTGATGGCCAAAGTCTGGTATTTGATCAATGGCTGCTATCACTTAGCTTACCAAAATATAAAAGCTTAAGATTTCATACTATGACACATAAAATTTTTGTACTAAAGCTAAAATTATTTAAAGCTCTCTGAATGCTAAGTGCTACCCAGATTTCAGTTGTCCTTACACAGTCTGTAAATGTGTGTAACAGATACAATCTCCCTTTACAAAAGGGAAAACGAAATGTAATGTCATCCAATCATTTAAAAAGAGCAAGACAACAATATACCTACATAGGTAGGTGTTAACACGTAGCCATTCCCATTACTTAAAAGTTTCTTCGATTTACAAATAAAAACACAGAGCTAATCTTACATGGCAACTCCAAGCCCGGGTGCACAGTAGCATTTTTGACCATGGGGGGAGAATGGCGACCATCGTCCATGTCCAGCTCTGTACACTGAGCTTCCCCGTGGATGACAGCCAAACCCAGACGCAGTCTCTCAGCATAGGACTGGGCCCTAAGAGGACAAAGGGAAACAGTGAAACCGATGGGAAGAAAACCCAAGCATCACCATTTCATCACTTTATTAATCATAAAATGAATGTATCATTCAACATTTTAGGGACATACAAAAGAATTATTTATATAAATCAGAATGTGAGGCCTAGGCCAGAATGCAGACGCCTCAAGGGCACATGAGCTGGGATCTGGGTTAATATCTGATTTTAGATCATTTTGATTCTGTCCTTTGACCAGTATGCTAACAGTCAGAAGTCATTCTTCAGAAGACTGAACTCTGTTCAAAAAGTTGTCTTCAAGGCTGGGTGAGGTGGCATGTATCTATGGTCCCAGCTAATTGGGAGACTGAGGTGGGAGGATTGCTTGAGACCAGGAGCTTGAGGTTACAGGGAGCTATGATCACACCCACTGTACTCTAGCCTGGGTGACAGAGACCCTGCCTCTTAAAAAAAATAGTCTCAAAAACCATTGTCTGAAAAATGCTCATAGACAGATTCACTGTTCTCCTTTCCTGAGAACTTGAAGAAACAACTTCATTTTCTCCCAGAGAAAAGCTGAGCAATTCAGAGATCCACTAGTGGTGTTTGGAGGCTAGAGATAAAGCTGTGTGTGGCGTGGGGTAAGAGAGTGACACAGGGGAAAGCTCGAGCCAATGAGCTTCTACAGGCCACGTTAAGACAGCCCCTGGATTCCAAAACAGCTAATTCTGACTTTAAAAGCACTCAAAAGGGATTCTTTTTTTTTTCTATTAATAGACATCAGGCAAGAAAAATGGGATTCTTATAAATGTCTGATTTCCTTACCTTTTTGCAGCGTCAGGAGACTTAGCTACAATGACTGCATTTCTGTAATTTGGAATCTAAATTTGAAGGAAAAATAGAAAATACTGAAAAGTTATCAAAAAATAACACCTGAATGCTGCTGGTATTATAGTTTTTCCTCTTATAATAATGATCAAACCAGCAATCAACTATACTAGAATTTCAGTCACACATTTTAAATTTTTCAACATTTATCATTTGATATCATTGCAAAAAGTATTCCTACATCAAGAAGATAAAAAATTCTTATTTTAGAAAATATAAGCAAATTGCTAAAGATACTTAAAGGAATTCTGTTTCTACTGTCTTTTAAAAATATGATCCTCCATGACATAAATGCAGACCCTATCTGGCTGTCTCAGATGTTAAGACTTAAGGGAAAGATCATTTGATGTGCCTTTCAATATTGAACTCTGGTGCCAGAGAAGAACTAAATAGGATCTCTTTTGAGGACACTGGGGTGTTTGCTGGTGGCTCCTCACTTCTTCCTGGATATACTGAAGCAGGAAAGGTGAGGCTCTAAGGTTGTCCACGGGAAAGCTGAAAAAGCCTTGTATTTCCTTTTGATGAAGATCCATAGTGATAATGTGAGTTAAACCTGAAATTTTAAAACAAAAAATTACAAAGTTCACCCCTACAAGTTAATGGCTACAGTGGACACAAACTAGATGCTTAACTCCTGCTTCCTACCAGAATATGGAAGACAGGGGAGAGTGTGACTACATGCAGTAGTCACAGACTTTACTGCTAACCTCAGTAGAGCTTAACGTAAAGCAGCTTATACACTTCCACAGGGACAAAGAGCTAAAACCAAGAAAAATGTGCTCTCCTCTACTGTTACTGATTATTGGCTTGTCCTGAAAATTAAGAGAAAAATCAAGTGGAATCAAAAATATGAAAATAGAATTAATAAATGCCAAAGCAACAGATGTGAAATACGGTAAGGCCTTGAACAAAGAACCTAGGGAGAAATGTGAAAGGACTGTGGCCGAGGCAGAAAGGAGTAAGAAGCAAAAGCAAAGTAATATACATGTTAGAAGAAAAGGAATTTATGTAACACAAAGATATTGAAGTTTGGAACCATTTCTGCATGTGATAAAAGAATGGTTCAAGAAGTATTCTTATAGAAAAACAACAAAGACATATTCTTATAACCGACAACAGTAGTAACCAGGAAAAGGTACATAAATAAGTACACTGCAAATGGCCAAAGGTCACTGCAAAACTTCTACAGCAAAGAACGAGTATTCCTTGTTCTTTCTTAAAACAGTACCCTTTTTTAGAGAAAATGAAATTCAAATACACCCAGCCCTCTGAATCTGTGGTTATCAACCAAACAGGGATGGAAGATGTAGTTAGGCCTATAATGGCTGTCTGTACTGAACATGTACAGACTTCTTTCCTTATCATTATTCCCTAAACAATACAGCATCATAACAACTATTTACACAGTGTTTACATCAGGTATTATAAGTAATCTAGAGATGGTTTCAAGTACACAGGAGGATGTGCAAAGGTTATATGCAAATACTATGCCATTTTGTATCAGGGACTTAGGTATCAGAAGGTTTTAGGAAGGGGAGGTGGTAGGCCCTGGAACCAAGCCCCTTAGGATACTGAAGGAAGACTGTTATGTTTCTTTCTGAGGACCCCAACATGTCTTAAGAGTTCTTAAACAAACATAAATAAAAACTCAATAATTGTAAAATATTACATTTGATTTATAAGCCAGAAAGTATGCCACTGCTATATAAGGAAAATAAAAGCAATGGCAATGAGCTGAAATACAGAAAGGCAAGGGGGAGGAGGGGAAGAATATAAACTGAAGAAGTAGAAAAAAAAATCCAATTTTAACGCTATGGACATAAACAGAATTTGGCTAACTAAGGCAAATACACAAATCTAGACCTGAAGCTCAAAAGATCACATAAGAATGTCGAGACTGCCAGCTAAAATTTTAATGATGACAAGATGAAATAGAAAAGAAGTAAATGAATGATAAAAAGTCCATGATTAGAGAAGAGTAGAAAACAAGAAACAATGGCATTCTTAAGGTAAAAAAAAAAAAAATTATAATTAAGCTCACACACCCCTAACCAAAACTGTACAAAAGGAAACAGAAACAGATAGGAAAAAGTAATCACTGAACAACATGTAAAGAAACTGGGTCCCAAAGTAGATATCTGAGGTATGAACTAATCTCAACTAGGAAAGAGTCCTGAATGATAGTGCTGGAACTCCAGGGTCTCTGTCCACACCTACCTGCTTTCGCCAGCATGGATGCCAGGAGCTTGCACACGATGGAACCCCTCTTCCTCATCTTGCTCTGCTTGCTGTAGGGGAAATAAGGGATGACGCCAATAATATTTCTGGCACAGGCAGTCTTCAGTGCGTAAGCCATGATCAGTAACTCCATCACAGCTGTGTTCACATCTCTGAAACAGTTAAAATTTATGTTTTTCCATTAATTCCATTTATTAACCCCTAGAAAAGATCTCAACTTCAGTCATTTAACATGGGCTGTCCAGATGGGTGTTACAGGCATTTTACCATCACACTAACTTATGATGGTACCTCGAGAATGCTTACCAAGTCTTCTTTTTAGCTGAGTAAGCTCCAGTTTTCATCTGTAGTGACTCACATATACACAGCACAGTTAACCCACTCTCACTTTGCCTGGATCTTCTGTGTCACATTCAGTTACTAAAGTGGCATACGAAGGAACTGCTGGTGACCAGCGTCGGTCAACACCTGCTGGCAAGCTCCAGGAATGCAGGCTCAGACCAGTGTGAATGCCAAGGGAAACCCACTTGCCCTTCTATTTAGCTGCCATTAACAAAAAGATGTGGTTCTCTTTTCTTCTTATGGGGAGGAGGTGGTCTTGGAACTTCTTTTCTTTTCTTTTTTTTTTTTTTGAGACAGAATCTCACTCTATTGCCTGGGCTAGAGTGCCATGGCATCAGCCTGGCTCACAGCAACCTCAAACTCCTGGGCTCAAGCGATCCTGCTGCCTCAGCCTCCCGAGTAGCTGGGACTACAGGCAGGTGCCACCATGCCCTGCTAATTTTTTTTCTATATGTTTTTAGTTGGCCAATTAATTTCTTTCTATTTTTAGTAGAAACAGGGTCTCACTTTTGCTCAGGCTGGTCTTGAGCTCCTGAGCTCAAATGATCCGCCAACCTCGGCCTCCCAGAGTGCTAGGATTACAGGCGTGAGCCACCGCGCCCAGCAGGAACTTATTTTCAAAAACCTTCCCTGTCCCTTCTTTCCCTGAGATAATACAGATTCCTGACAAAGATTACCCAGATGGACAAAAAATGGAATATGCATCTGAAAGATATTCAGAGGAAAGCTATTTCCAATGATAATGAATATGCATTGCTAGCTTTAGCCAAGACTGATCAAACCTGAGGTGGGCTCTGCCTATAAAAATGACGAAAGCCTTGAAATCCTTTAGGAGACTATTCCAACGCCCTACCTCTCACTTTAGCCTCCTCCCGTTCCTTCCTGGATTGTCCACATGTCCTCAAACACCCGCTCTTTGAGGGTCTTACTGTGTCTCCATTCCCTTCCCTATGCCATCAGTTCATTCCTACAGAAGGAGCAGGTTCTCCAGGTGCCGGTTCTTCAATTAACATGCAGGAGTGATGCTGCCCTGATTACAGCAATGTGGAAAGCCTGCCATCTACATGGCCGAGATTAATGCTTGCTGAGTAGGTGGCTGAACGAAACACTCAAGAGATGCTTTCTAGCTTGAAGGATAAACAGCCATTTCCTCCCATTCTCTTCCAATTTACCTTCACACCTCTCTGTAAAGCAGAGTGTATGTGAAAGTGTAACCGCAAGGACATCCTCTCACTCTGACAGTGTTTCCCACTCCCACATTCAACTCCTGGAACTTGCAGCCTCACCTTTGTAATTTGGATTTTTCACAAATATTGCAGGGTTCTGTGATAAAAACATCTCTCCCCAAGGGAGAGATCACTGATTCAGGGGTCAACTTCAAGACAACCAATATATTCCTTTTGGACAGCTAATAAGTTCCATTATTTTCCAGTTATCATTTTTTTCCTCTGAAATAAATTGGAGCATTTTTCTTCTTCATACTCTCAAATTAATAATGCCAAGTCAGGCATCAAAAGGTCAGAAGACAAAATCTTTTGGTGCAATCAGGACAATTATGAAACACTTTTAAGGTACTCAGGAATTCATAATACTCAATTTCCATTCAACAAATTTTGTTTTTCAAAATTAATATAAAATTTATCTGGGCCAAGGTTGAGGACTGTAGGCCAAAGTTGGGGTACACTGCCAGGTTACCTGAGAGGGTGCTCCCTTATTCAAAAAAATATTTTATCATCCATTCAAAAAAATATTTATTGAGCAACTTGAGTCATACCCTGTGGTGAGTGGGGGGATAAAAGGGTAAGCAAAGCATGCCACCTCTCAGGGAGGCCAGAGAAATCTGGGACCACTCAGGAGTAACCACTCATCCCAAGAAGGAGCTCGTCTGACTTACGTAAGAATGGTCCCCTTCCCAAAGGCGTCATACTTTATTCCACAGAGGGGAGGGCCTCCCTTCCCACGTCAGATCATCTAAATCTATGCCTTGTGAGCTCTTGAATGCTAAACTGGAATCCTGCATAGCACTCAGATGATGGCATATAATTAACTCAGGTGTCCTTATCTAAATTTAACAGCAGACATCATGCATACTACAGCAAAAGTTCTCTTCCCTTTAAGGACTGCTTGTCAACTTTAGAAATAAAATTAAAGCATATCTTAGACTTCCACTTGTATGATACTGTGTGGTACTACAAAAGCTCCACTGGACATGGCTTTTTTTTTTTGAGACGGTTCTTGCTGTCACCCAGGCTAGAGTGTAGTGGCCAATCGTAGCTCACTACTAGCTTGAATTCCTAGGCTCAAGCGATCATGACAGGCAAGAACCCCCATGCCCTGCCTGGATGTGGCTTCTTAAACCAGATCCCAATGACAATAATACGCTTACAGGTGAAGTTAATTTGGTAGATTCTGAAAATATATCTGTGTGAATAATAGGCTTTTAGCAGGTTTTGTCAAAGCATTTGTAATACACAAGTGTATGATATCATGAGGTTTGGAGAATACACCCCAAGCGAGGCCCAGATAATCAGATATTTATGGAACAAAATGAACAGTTTTTTTTGTTTTTTTTTTTTTTGAGACAGAGTCTCGCTTTGTTGCCCAGGCTAGAGTGAGTGCCATGGCGTCAGCCTAGCTCACAGCAACCTCAAACTCCTGGCTCAAGCAATCCTCCTGCCTCAGCCTCCCAAGTAGCTGGGACTACAGGCATTCACCACCATGCCCGGCTAATTTTTTCTATATATATTAGTTGGCCAATTAATTTCTTTCTATTTATAGTAGAGACGGGGTCTCGCTCTTGCTCAGGCTGGTTTCGAACTCCTGACCTCGAGCAATCCGCCCGCCTCGGCCTCCCAGAGAGCTAGGATTACAGGCGTGAGCCACCGCGCCCGGCCAAAATGAACAGTTTTTGATAAGTCTTGATTTCAGGATAACTTTCCTTTCATTAATGACCAATTTCCCACATGAGGTTTTTATTTTTCACTTTTTCTTCTTCCTGATGACCTATGCCAAGGGATTCAACATCCTCCAACCCAAGGCTAAGGAAATCCTAGCCCACATCTCCACCCCCATCCCCACCCCTTACTGGTCAGGAAAGCGACAAAAAGGCCTTTGTCACACTGGCTTTACTCATTCACTGATAAGACACTGGACGAATTGGACACCAGGCAGTTACTCTGTAAGCCAGCAGGGTGAAAAGAAATTGGCTGGCAGTCTACTTTGTTTATCTGTTCCTAAGAATGTTCCAAAGTACAGCCGGCTAGTTCCTGTAGTCTGTATCTAAGCAGGACAATCTTAATTGCTTTACCAACTATTTTTCTTTTTTTTTTTTTGAGACAGAGTTTCACTTTGTTGCCCAGGCTAGAGTGAGTGCCCTGGCATCAGCCTAGCTCACAGTAACCTCAATCTCCTGGGTTCAAGCAATCCTTCTGCCTCAGCCTCCCAAGTAACTGGGACTACAGGCATGCGCCACCATGCCCAGCTAGTATTTTCTATATATATTAGTTGGCCAATTAATTTCTATTTATAGTAGAGACAGGGTCTTGCTCTTGCTCAAGCTGATTTCGAACTCCTGACCTTGAGCAATCCGCCCGCCTCTAGGATTACAGGCCTGAGCCACCGTGCCCAGCTGAAAAATATCCTTTAAAGTACACTTTGTAAGCTTCATATTTTACTTAAGTATAATATGGTATATTTGGAATTTCCTTGAGTACCACAACAGTTCAATTATTCAACATAATCACTTCATTCAGAATGGTTTTGCCATGTCCAAAAATTAAATCCATCATCAACCAAAAATAATGTACTATTATTAGAGTAGTCAAAGAAATACGTTGCAAGTTTGGAAAGTAGTTTCAGTTGTTCCAAAGATATTCTGAGCAAAACAGCACCAAAAAAACTCAATACATATGATCTCAGGACAACAGCTCTGAAGGCAACTAAGCTTACTTGAATGTCTAAGCTTTGATCTGTTTGTCTAAAATCGGCTTTATTACTGTACTACTGGGAAGAGAATTGTGGGTTCCAAATAATCTCAACACAAGTACGCACACAGAGACTTCACCATCTTCAGGACGGGGTTCCAGTTTCCAAAAGTGCCCTTTATACCCACCTGCCTTTTTCAAAGGGAAGGGGCCTTTCCATATGTTAAGACATGTACGTAAAATTGTCATTGTTCTCTTTAAGATTCATGCTTTGCTACAACTCCATGAAGCGCTCCTTTCTTCTTCCTTTGGTCAAATTTTCTTTTTTTTGAGACAGAGTCTCACGGTGTTGTCTGGGCTAGAGTACCGTGGGGTCAGCCTAGCTCACAGCAACTTCAAACTCCTGAGCTCAAATGATCCTCCTGCCTCAGCCTCCCAAGTAGCTGGGACTACAGGCACGTGCCACCTGGGACTACAGACACGTGCCACCATGCCCAGCTAATTATTTTTCTATTTTTAGTTGTTTGGCTAATTTCTTTCTATTTATAGTAGAGACGGGGTCTCACTCTTGCTCATGCTGGTGGTCAAATTTTCTAATACCCTAAGTACAGGTGAAAAAAACTGTAAATGTTTTCCACTTAGCCATTAACCAACTCATTTCTTTTTTTTTTTTTTTTCCGAGACAGAGTCTCACTCTGTTGCTCGAGCTAGAGTGCCGTGGTGTCAGCCTAGCTCACAGCAACCTCAAACTCTTGGGCTCAAACAATTCTCCTGCCTCAGCCTCCTGAGTAACTGGGACTACAGGCATGTGCCACCATGCCCGGCTCATTTTTTCTATATATTTTTAGTTGGCCAATTAATTTCTTTCTATTTATAGTAGAGACGGGGTCTCACTCTTGCTCAGGCTGGTTTTGAACTCCTGACCTTGAGCAATCCTCCCGCCTCGGCCTCCCAGAGTGCTAGGATTACAGGCGTGAGCCACCGTGCTCAGCCCCAACTCATTTCTCCATACTTCTTTTGTCCCTTCCCTGGAAGACTCTTGCATACTGATGACCTCTCTATTTGTAAAGCTCAGTCTGTTTCAGTCCCAGTATCACTCTAGATTGCACGTATCAAACATTTATACTGAGCACTCTTGGTTACCGTGAGACACTGAAACCGAGAATTGTATAAAATTATGTCCTCACCACAAAGGACACTAACAACTTGTTGCTTCTATATCTGACTTATCTGAGATGCCCACAGACACACAGGAGAGATGACAAGAAGATAACGCTGTTAACAGTGAATGTTGGCGGGGTGTGGTGGCTCATGCCTGTAATCCTAGCACTCTGGGAAGGCCGAGGAGGGAGGAAGCCTTTGGAAGTGTCAAAAAGAAGAAAAGAAAAAAATGCCCAAGCTGAATCACATCATAGTTAAATGTCTGACAAACACAAACTGAGGGACATTTGACAAAGTAAGTGGAAAAATGTGAAAGTCTTAAAAAAAAAAAAAAAAAGCCTTCAAAAGTGTCAATGTTGGCCGGGCGTGGTGGCTCACGCCTGCAATCCTAGCACTCTGGGAGGCCGTGGCGGGTGGATTGCTCAAGGTCAGGAGTTCGAAATCAGCCTGAGCAAGAGTGAGACCCCGTCTTTACTATAAATAGAAAGAAATTAATTGGCCAACTCATATATATATATATATATATATATATATATATATATATATATATATATATATATATAAAATTAGCCTGGCATGGTGGTGCATGCCTGTAGTCCCAGCTACTAGGGAGGCTGAGTCAGAAGGATTGCTTGAGCCCAGGAGTTTGAGGTTGCTGTGAGTTAGGCTGACACCACAGCACTCACTCTAGCCTGGGCAACAAAATTGAGACTCTGTCTCAAAAGAAAAAAAAAAAAGTGTCAATGTTTTGAAAGTCAAGGAAAGACTGAGGAACTATTCTAGACTGAAGATGAGCGAACAAACACAACTAAATGGTATCTGAGATCCTGAACCAGCTCCTTCTGCTAGAAAGAACATCACTGGGCCACCTGGCAGAACTTGAATGGGGCCTGAGGATTTCATGACTATGTGTTAAGTGTTAACATCCCAATTCTCTCAGTTATACCACACTGCGGTTATCTAAGAGAAAGTCCTTATTTGTAGGAATCATTTACTAGAGTATCAGAAGGTGGAGAGGCATCAGGTTGGGAACTTACTCTAAAATGCTCGCACCATACATGCAAGTTTACTGTAAATTTGAGATTGTTTCAAACCAAGAATTTCTAATAAATGAGGTAGCTCTTTATGTACTGATATACTATTTTATTTTTAAAAGTTCATCAGAGCATATTATAGATTTCTTTCATGTAAAAATTAAGAAAAACATACACATAAGTAGTTGCAAGAATATGCGTAAAGTCTCTGAAAGAATAACTAAAAAACTGACAGTACCAGCTGCGCCCAGGGAAGAAAACCAGGTGGCTGGGGGCAGAGGTCAGAGGGAGACATCATTCCATGCCCTTGATACTTGAACCACGTAGATATTTATCATATAAGGAAAATTTAAATTAAAAAAATTAAAATTACCTATATTTTGGTTTTGATGATCACTTAAATTATGGAGCCTAAATTTGCATATGCATATAAACAATACGGAGGAATAAATAACTTTTTAGTTATCTCAAAAGAATAGGAAGTGGATAAAGAGAGTTGGAGAACTTTTATATTCTGATATGTGTTTCTTTTTGTTTTGTTGTTTTTTTCTGATACACATTTCTATAATGCCTATATTTTGTGATAAACATTTTTATAATCATAAAAAAATATTAAAAATTCTTAGTATTTACGAGTAATACTGCATTACGGAATCTGTTATGTCTGCACATGCATTACTCACTCCATGACCCTGTGGTCCTCAATCTCCTTCAGATCCAGGTTTCCCAATACTCTCAACCAGAGCCGAAAGTAGCTACCATGCAGGATTTAAGGACTAAAAATGATACACATAAAGTGCCCAGCACATTGGTAGCACTCATTGCCATTCTTATCACTAATACAGCCTCAGGAATCTAGATTGATCAGGACTTGGAGGTTCGGATTTTTCAAAGACACAGAAGGTCGAACCCGCCCCACTCTCTATGAGGCAAGGAGAAGAGATAACCCCACATGGAAGCCATACACAGGTAGACCAGAATTCCCTGGGGTTAGCCCTCCAGCCCTAAGCGAAGGAGTGGCAATGCTATCTGAAATAAAGACAAGCTATAAACAGACCACTGTGCAAAATAAAATAAAGTGCACAAACCTGTCTTGATGGGTATGAACCAGGAGCGGTTATAGCCCTTAACAAGAAACTTTCAGCAGTGCTGAACAACAAGACGCTGGCCTAGGGTCAGCGCACAAAATGTACAAAAAAAGAATTTTGTCCTTGGGAATTTAGAGCTTGGGGAAGATGGTCACATAAACAGGTAACAGTGCATGTGACAAACAGGGTAGTAATTCCAAAAGACTACAACTGTATTTTGGGAAACATTTAACATATAAACAAATTTATAACTTAAAAAAAAAACACCCTGAATTGTTATTCATATGAAAAGATAATGAATTATCTCAATTAAGGTTTTTAGAGGAAAAAGGATACATAAAGTTGTCCTAACTCTTACCTGGGTATTGTCTGTATAATGAAAATATCTTGGCCACGAACAGATTCCTTTATTTCAACTCTTGTTTCTGAAAAATAAAAATGTCCTAAAGTTTTAAGAAAAGCACTTTGTGATGTAATAATTAGACAGCATTTGGAGGAAGTAAGAAGAATCTAAATCAATGCTTCACTTGGTAAAACAAAATAAATTCTTAAATAGATTTCTGAATGACACGTTCATATATTAAAAATAAACCAGGCACAGTGGCTCATGCCTATGTATAATCCCAGCACTTTGGGAGGCTGAGAATGGAGGATTGCTTGAGGCCAAGAGTTTGAGACCAGCCTGGAATATAACAAGACTCCATCGCTAAAAAAATTTTAAAAATGAGTCAAACATGAGAGCACGTGCCTATAGTCCCAGCTACTCAGGAGGATAAGGCAGAGGGATCACTTGAGCCCAGGAATTTAAGGCTGTAGTGAACTATGATTGGGCCACTGCACTCTGGCCTGGGAGACAGAGCAAGACCCTGCTTCAGGGAAGAAAAAAAAAAGTCAAGCTGGTAAAAAATAAGTCAAAAATAGAAAACGAAACTAACCAACAGGTTTACAAAAGTCTCAGGGATCCCACCCCACAAAAAAACAACCCATCACCAAAATAAAGGTATAACCAAGATGCCTGGAGAAGAGTCTACAGCAAATAAAGAGACCAAAGATTAACTTCCTTATTTTTCTTTCAACAAATGCTGAGGCCTCCCCTGTGCCAGGCCCTGTGCTGGTAGACCCAGAGTGGAGAACCTGGACCGAGGGAGGAGACTCACCCAGGAGAGATGATACAACCCAAAGGCTGACGTTTACCCAACGTGCCAGAGATAGACCAGCTGTGACAAAGGAGAGAGAATAATGGGGCTGGGAGCAATGGAACATGGGAAGATGTGGGGGCAGGGTGTGCCAAGCAGAGGGGCAGGCAGTTAGTCCACTTGGAAACCACTTGGAAAGCAGGGTGAATGAGGGAGAAGAAGTAGACAGGTGGTCAAGTAGCCAAAAGGGGCCAGACCATGCAGGACTCTTATTTTTTTTTGAGATAGAGTCTCACTTTGTTGCCTGAGCTAGAGTGCCGTGGCGTCAGCCTAGCTCACAGCAACCTCAAACTCCTGGGCTCAAGCAATCTTTCTGCCTCAGCATCCCAAGTAGCTGGGACTACAGGCATGCGCCACCATGGCCAGCTAGTTTTTTCTGTATATTTTTAGCTGTCCAATTAACTTATTTCTATTTTTGGTAGAGACAGGGTCCCACCTCGCTCTTGCTCAGGCCAGTCTCAAACTCCAGAGCTCAAACGATCCACCCACCTCAGCCTCCCAGAGTGCTAGGATTACAGGCGTGAGCCACCGTGCCAGGCCTGGATTTTATTTCTTATTCTATAAGGAGTCTGGATTTTATTCTACATGTGATAGGAAAGCCACTAGAGGATTTGAGATTGGGAAGACTTTGCTCTACTTATTTTAAAGAGATAACTGGCTACTGTGTGAAGAAAACTGCAGCAGGGCAGAAGTGGCCCCAGGGAGGCTACAGCAGCTGTTTTTGAAGGGGTCCAGCAAGCAGCAAATGGCTAGCTGGACTGGGATGGCAGCAACAGAGGCAGTGAGGGGTCAGATTTAAAAAGCATTCCAACCCAAAGCCAGAGTGCACAGGATGTGTTGACTGAAGATGAAGCTGGTGAATGGATAAAACCTGGTTCCCCACAGGCCCCACGTGATTGCTAAGGAGACTGGACTCCAGTCTAGAGGAAGCAGTGGCAAGTAAAAGACATTTGCATTTTAGAAATATCCTGCTGAAAGTGAGTAGAATGGATTACAGAGGCTGGAAATGGAGGTAAGGAAGACGTGTTAGGAAGCTACCCCCACAGTTCGAGAGAGAGCTACTGAGGCCTAGTGCAGTAATGGAAGGGGGAGAAAAGGGTCTTAATTTCCCCACTTCCTCCTCCTCCTCAAGCACTTCATTTCATGAGCTTCCCAAAGGCATCACTATGAATTAAACTGGTGACTGCTAAATAGAGTACCTCACCTATCTGTATTCAGCTTCAGGTTTTTAATACTACCATTTCCTTCCTGACTCCCCCTGGCAGTAGATAGTAAAGTATCTAAAGTCACCAAGTTGCTAAGTGTAGAAGCTGGAAGAAAGATACTGGGGACTTAATTTTAACACATGTAACTTAAACCCATCTTGGGAATGTGTATATTCCATTCAACTATCCATTAAACCATCTTTCCCTTCTTGGATACTTTGTTTTTGCAGATCCCCAAACATCATTATGTCTCAGTGAGGCACCTCCTCTGGCTACTTATAGATAGTTACAACTTAGAAAGAGAAAAGGCAGCATAGACTTATGAACCCAGGCTTTCAATTTTGCTAACATAATACCAAATTATTCTATACTAATTTGCCTTCACAATGAATAGACTTATAACCTGAAATATGTGGCCCCACTAGGAGGTTTATGACATAGCATTCCAAGGACACTGGCCATCAGCAAAGTGCCTATAAGCACTCTCAGTTTACGTGATAATGCAGCTCTCAGCACAAACCTGCAGGGCAGCAAACACAAGTTACCAACCCAGGGTAAAAATGCACAAGAGAAATTTAAAGATTGAGAGACTTAAAAGAAGATGTTTATATGAGTCATTACTATTTAACACCTAGTATCTGATTGCTCCTGATGTCACTTGATCACCTGGTGAGACAGATAAATGTAAGACGTATTTATTAAATACAACCAACTGTGGAAGAAAAAAACTTATTCTATACATCTCTCTTTTCATTCTAAAATGACAGGATATTTGTATCATCATAGAAAAAAGGAAAGGAGACACTAAACAGGAAGACTAAGTAGTCAAGATTTAAAGGGAAGCACAGAATGATGATGTGATGTATACCTCTAATATTAAAGAGAAAATGTTTGTGTTAAACATGAGTAATATTTGCCTTTAAAAAACATGCTGGCTGATTCAACAATTTAGATAAGAAAGGATGTTTAAGAAATAATTTTAACTTACCCCCATTGGTCTCTTGGTATACAACAGACTTCCCCAATTCAGCACCAAGACGCCTATAGACAAAAAAAAAAAAAAAAAAAGGCAATTAAGAACTCTTTTCTGAAAAGTTTCAGTTCATATGCATATGTTTAACAAAAAAACTCAAATAACTAAGCTGGCACTCTCCAAAAAAAAAATTAACTTAGAAGGTCTAATTCATTAAGAATTAAAATTCTACTGGTGTGGTGGTACATGCCTCTAATCCCAGCTACTCCAGAGTACTCCAGAGGACTGCCTGAGCCCAGGAGTTATATAGACCAGCCTGGGCGATATGGTGAGACCCCATCTCAAAAAGAAACAACTAAAATTCCCCTGTTACTCCATAAGCAGCTCAGCATTTTTTAACACACTGTTTTACTGCAAAGAGCCAAAACCAAAGTTTATTGTCTGGTTCACTGCTTTTTAAATAACTGTCTTGGAAAATCATTTCCAAACAAATACTTGGTCACTAGCAATGATTCCAAAAATACAAGCCAAAGATAAATACCTTAATTGTCAAAAGCATATAGATGAAAAGAGAATTCAGCACTACTAACTAAATGTTAGTATGGATCTTGTTTGGATCTTGATTAGAATATACCAAGTAGGCCGGGCGTGGTGGCTCACACCTGTAATCCTAGCACTCTGGGAGGCCAAGGCCCGCAGATTACTCGAAGTCAGGAGTTCAAAACCAGCCTGAGCAAGAGCGAGACCCTGTATCTACTATAAATAGAAAGAAATTAATTGGCCAACTAAACACATATAGAAAAAATTAGCCAGGCATGGTGGTGCATGCCTGTAGTCCCAGCTACTCAGGAGGCCGAGGCAGCAGGATTGCTTGAGCCCAGGAGTTTGAGGTTGCTGTGAGCTAGGCTGACACCAGGACACTCACTCCAGCCTGGGCAACAAAGCGAGACTCTGTCTCAAAAAAAAAGAATACACCGGCCGGGCGCGGTGGCTCACGCCTGTAATCCTAGCACTCTGGGAGGCCGAGGCGGGCGGATTGCTCAAGGTCAGGAGTTCAAAACCAGCCTGAGCGAGACCCCGTCTCTACCATAAAAATAGAAAGAAATTAATTGGCCAACTAATATATATAATATAAAAATCAGCCGGGCATGGTGGCTCGTGCCTGTAGTCCCAGCTACTCGGGAGGCTGAGGCAGCAGGATCGCTTGAGCCCAGGAGTTTGAGGTTGCTGTGAGCTAGGCTGACGCCACGGCACTCACTCTAGCCTAGGCAAGAAAGCGAGACTCTGTCTCAAAAAAAAAAAAAAAAAAAAAAAAGAATACACCAAGTATACAAAGTCATTTTTTAAACAATCAGAGAAATATGAATATATTACTACATAATATTAAGGAATTAATGGTAGCACAAGTTTTTAAAAACTCTTTATCAGTTAGCATTACCATTTTTACAAGCAAAATGATATGATGTTAGGGTGGAATCTATTTAAAAATACTACAGCCAGGAATACACATACAAGGAAATATTATTCAGCCTTAAAGAGGAATGAAATTCTGGTATGTGCTACAACATGAATGAACCTTGAAAAAATTATGCTGAATAAAATAACCCAGACACAAAAAGACAAATAGTGATTCCATTTATAGGAGGTACCCAGAACAGGCAAATTCATAGAGACAGAAAGTATTTTAGGTGACCTGGGGCTGGGAGGAGAGGACAATGGGGAGTTAGTATTTAATGACTACAGAGTTTCTGTTTGGGGAGGTGAAAAAATTCTGGAAATGGATAGTGGTGATAGTTGCATAACATACATGTACTTAATGCCACTGAATTATACACTTAAATGGTTAAAATGTAAATTTCCTATTAATGTATATTTTACCACAACAACAACAACAAAAAATCCAGCCCCAAAAAAGTGTAGGATAAGTAAATGAAACAAAATTAGCAAAAAGCTACTAAGTGTGGAAGCTGGATGGATACCTGGGGATTAATTATAACATATATCTAATTTACATATATCCTGGGAATATAGTGCACCTAATTCCTTTATTGATTAAAGTACATAATCAAAAAAGTTTGAAGATCCTTGCTTAAAGTTTAGAAAGGCTGAGAGAAATCATGGAAAGAAAATATCATCATAACTTCAGGAGTCATCTAATCTAGTGATCTTCAAACATTTAGTAATAAACAACTCTTTTCAAATAAAATCTTGCTGAGAAACTCAATAAATGAAACATAAGGAAAGTATTTCCAAATATTTACAGTAACTTAAACTCTTTCTGGAATTTGGCAGAGAAGAACCTAAAACAAAAACAAAAAAGCAAAAACCACTGACTTTTTAAATTCACCCTCCTCCCTTCCGCTTTCTCTCAGCAAGGTCCTGTGTGATAAATCTGACCCAATACAAACAAACACAAGCTTCGCATTTAAAATTAGTGTTTTAGTTGGCTTGGGGGGGAAAAAAGACAAATAATCAGGGGTTAGAAATAGAAACTAGGTAGTAAACTGCAAAAGGAATTCTTTACATTCTTCTCTAATCTCATTTAAAACTCCAACTGAAAAACAGCCATAGCTGAAAAAATATGACTCATTTCCCCTCCATAAAGTCTACATTTCCACCTAGACTTTTAAAATATATTCACGCAATTATTTATCAACCCTGAAAAAAATCAGAGTAACTCTAATGTAAATACTTTAAAATGTGAAAATGACTTTAAATATGAAAAGACAGGGGGGAGAGGGGGAAGGGCATTTATTGAAACCTTAAAATCTGTACCCCCATAATATGCCGAAATAATAATAATAAAAAAAAGACATACTATTCATTTTATGTCTTACTTTCTTAACAAGTTTATTTGGAAAGGGCCTATAAAGCTCTCCCTCTATATAAGGACTCTCCAAAAGAGTTCTCCAAAAGAGCCCACTAGCAAGGTCGCCATTTATTAAACAGGTATTATTCAGAGGGCCACTATGAGCCCCTGCTCTGCTAGTACCTGATCTACACTATCTTGGCCATGCTCACAATATCCTTGCCCAATAGACAGAGTCATCCCCACTTTACAAATGAAGTTTAGGAAAACCAAGTCTCTTGCTCAGTGTCACAGATGTGGTAAATGGCATCGCTGTCAGATCCCAAACGCCACTTGAAGCCATAGGATTCCTTGGGTTAAAAAGACAGACAGAGGCCGGGCGAGGTGGCTCACGCCTGTAATCCTAGCTCTCTGGGAGGCCGAGGCGGGCGGATTGCTCCAGGTCAGGAGTTCAAAACCAGCCTGAGCAAGAGTGAGACCCCGTCTCTACTATAAATAGAAAGAAATTAATTGGCCAACTAATATATACAGAAAAAATTAGCCGGGCATGGTGGCGCATGCCTGTAGTCCCAGCTACTCGGGAGGCTGAGGCAGGAGGATTGCTTGAGCCCAGGAGTTTGAGGTTGCTGTGAGCTAGGCTGACGCCACGGCACTCACTCTAGCCTGGGCAACAAAGCGAGACTCTGTCTCAAAAAAAAAAAAAAAAAAAAAAAGACAGACAGGCAAAGGCCTTACTTCAAACGATTGATCCACTCGAAGGCTGGCTTACGAAACACGGTCAGGCCTATCACTTCTACCCGCCCCTGACCCATCTGCTCGGCAGGGCCCTGCCCCACACCTTCGCCCTGCTGCTGCACCCGGCGGTCTCATGAAGGAGATTTGGGGATGGCGACATTGGGAATGGTGACATCCTTGGGAATGGCCTCGGATTCAGAGGCCAGCAGCTCCAGTCGTGGGAAAGGGAGCCAAAGCCGCTGTCCCCAAGGCGGGGGGGGGGAGCTCACCCTGCCCTGGGGTGTGGGAGTGGGGAGACCTAAGGACGGCCAGTGGTCCAAGTAACGGCGGGCGGGGGGCTTCGGTCACCAGGAGTCCGCCGAAAGCGTCTCAGCTGCGAAACCGCAGGATTCTGCGACGCCCTCCCCCAGGTGCAGGCGAGGAGCAAGGCCGACCCCCGGGAGGGTCTCCCGGGTGTGGAGAGCCAGGCGCCGCCGTGCCCAGCGCCGGCCCGGCCCGGCCCGGCCCTCCCGCCGCCCCGCTTACTCGGTAATGCGCTTGGCCAGCTCGGTGCAGGCAGCCGTGGAGTTGGCCGAGAAGACCCGGTAGCCGGTGCGGGCGGCGTTCATGGCCGGCGAGGCGGCGGGGCGGGCTCGCGGGGCGCGGAAGGCGGAGGACGCGGACAGCGGGGGCAGCAGCAGCAGCTTCTTGGGCATCGTCCGGCCCGAGCGCGGGTACAGCCGGCCCCGCGCAGGGCTGGACCGCGGCGACCGCGAGGCCTGAGGGTCGGACTGGGAAAGGCGCTAAGAAGCCCAGCGCCGGAGGGGAGAGGCCGAATCCCCACCCTCGGCGTCCCACAGGCCACGAGGAGCGGCGGCCGCGACGAAGCTCACCGCGACCGGCGCCTCAGCCACCACAGCTAGCGGCGAGGCTGCCGCCCCCTCCGGGGAAATCTAAGGAGCGCCGGCTAGAGCGCCCGCAGAGCTGCCATCTCAGATGAGGGCAGGGAGGTGGGCGACTCCTTAAAAACCTGTTCTTCCGAGGGACGCCTCACGGATTCGTTCCGCCGCTTGCTTTTGCGGCTCCCAGGGGGAGCTCTTTTGCTCTCACATTCTTGGGCGATGCAGTTTGACTTGCTAGTGGTCCCAGCCGTTTCCAACTTTTCCGCCAGGACCAAAAATGTCCACCTCCGAGGAGGTAGGCGATCTAGCTGCGCGTCTCTGTGGTAACACAGCGCTTGCCTTCCCAGGCGTCCACCTGGGATTTGTTTGAAAAGTGGAGGGCGGGGTTATTTCCCGCTAGTTGCCTGCAGTACTGAAATGCCCCGAAGGTGGTCTACTCCTGAGCCCGTTAGCACGTTCCTCGAACAGACTCCAAGTTTGTGTCTGCATCCGCCAGGCTTTGCTGTAGCAGGTGCTCTGGATCATAAAAGCTCTCCTTTCTCCCCTTCCATATTCCCCCATCCCTCAAAGATCCACTAGCAATGCGTCTGCTCCACAAAGTCTTTCCTGATGACCTCAGCCACAGCAAGCTGCCCTGCCCTCTGGACCGTGCCGTGTGTAGATGCTTGTATTTTTATTTACCTTTGTGAACACCTGCTTTCCCAGCAAAGATGTAAGCCCTCTTAGGGCAGGATCATGGATTCCTTCGTGCTTCCTGGTTCCCAGTGTCCAGGGCAGTGTTAAGGGGTCCCAGAAGCACGCAATCAGTCCTTGTTGAATAAGGTCCAAGAAGAAAATAAAGGGCAGGAAAGCATTTGAGTCACTCCTTATCAGCTGCCCCAGGATTGCGGGGGAGGGGGAATGGCGGGGCCTCTCGCATACACTGTACCATCTTCTGAGAATGTCCTTTAGGGACTCTGCCTGTTGTTACAGTGGACCTGAAGGAACAATAGATTGTGACCCAGCCTGTGGTGAAGACTCAGGAGCCTGAAGCTTCAGGATTTGGAAGTTAAAGTGCCCCGGGTCTGCAGCAGCCTGGCATGCATTCTGCTAGCTCTCTAGAACCACACCCCATCTACACCTCTCGCCCAGAGCAGGTTACACGTGTCTAGCTAATGGACCTGGACTGAAGCTTACCTTCCAAAACAAAGGGGGAACAATGTCCCTTTACTTTTTTTTTTTTTTTTTTTTTGAGACAGAGTTTCACTTGTTGCCCAGGCTAGAGTGAGTGCCGTGGCATCAGCCTAGCTCACAGCAACCTCAAACTCCTGGGCTCAAGTAATCCTTCTGCCTCAGCCTCCCGAGTGGCTGGGACTACAGGCATGCGCCACCATGCCCGGCTAATTATATATATATATTAGTTGGCCAATTAATCTTTCTATTTATAGTAGAGACGGGGTCCCGCTCTTGCTCAGGCTGGTTTCGAACTCCTGACCTCGAGCAATCCGCCTGCCTCGGCCTCCCAGAGTGCTAGGATTACAGGTGTGAGCCACCGCGCCCGGCCTACTTGGTGTATTCTAATCAGGATCCAAACAAGATCCATACTAACATTTAGTTAGTAGTGCTGAATTCTCTTTTCATCTATATGCTTTTGACAATTAAGGTATTTATCTTTGGCTTGTGTTTTTGGAATCATTGCTAGTGACCAAGTATTTGTTTGGAAATGATTTTCCAAGACAGTTATTTTAAAAGCACCTTGCTAAAAGCAAGCACTGTGCCCGGCCCCTTTACTTTTTTTTTTGAGACAGAGTCTGGCTCTCTTGCCCGGGCTAGAGTGTCATGGCATCAGCCTAGCTCAAGCAACTTAAAACTCCTGGGTTCAAGTGATCCTCCTGCCTCAGCCTCCCAAACAGCTGGGATTACAGGGGGACCCCATCACAGCCCATGTATTTTTTTATTTTTAGTAGAGACTGGGCCTCGCTCATGCTCAGACTGGTCTCAAACTCTTGACCTCAACCGAGCCTCCCACCTCAGCCTACCAGAATGCTAGGATTACTGGCCTGAGCCATGGCACCCATCCTACATTTTCCTTATATATATCCCACAGAACCCCTCAAACTTTAATATACCTTCAAATAAACCCATCTTCATTTTCTCAATTCTCCCCAAACTGCTCTTGCTCCTCTGTTCCCTCTGTGCATGAACATTAACCATTAACATTTATTATTTTTGCCAGGCCCCTTTTTTTGTGCTTGGGAGACTTTACTGAAGAAAAAGACAAAAATTCCTACTTTTGAGGGGCTTTAAAATCTAGCAGAGGAAGAGAAAAAATAAACGAACATAATAAATGAATAAATTATATGGCATGCTAGAAGGTATGTTCATTTCCTATTGTTATGGTAACAAATTACCACAAACTTTGTGGCTTAAAACAACACGAATTTAGCTGGGTGCAGTGGCACGAGCCTATAGTCCCAGCTTACTGGAAGGCTGAGTCCAGCCTGGGCAACATATGGAGACCCCTGTTTCTTAAAAAAAATTATCCCACAAATTTATAATCTCACAATTCTAAAGTTCAGAAGCCCTAACATCAAAGTGTTAGCAGAGCTGTGTTCCTTCTGGAGGCGCTAAAGGAGAGTCCATTTCCTTGCCTTTTCCACTCTCTAGAGGCTGCCTGCATTCCTCAGCTCATAGCCCCATCCTCCCTCTTCAAAACCAGCAGGAGGCCGGGTGCCATAGCTCATGCCTGCAATCCTAGCACTCTGGGAGGCCAAGACAGGAGGATCGCTTGAGTTCAGGAGTTCAAGACCAGCCTCAGCAAGAGCAAGATCCTGTCTCTACAAAAAATAGAAATATTAGCTGGGCATCATGGCTCATGCCTGTAGTCCCAGCTCCTCGAGAGGCGGAGGCAGGAGGATGGCTTGAGCCTGGGAGGTTGCAGTAAGCAATGGTGACACTCTAGCTAGGGTGACAGAGCAAGACTCTGTCTCAAAAAAAAAAAAAAAAAGGAGCCTAAAGTTCATACTAACTAACTTAAGGTGGTTCTTTGGGACATTAGTCCGCCATCTTCTTGGTGTGCTGGCTCTCTGAACAAAAGCAGCTTCCCTTGTCCCAACCCCTTCCTCTCAACTTATTGACTGTCCTGCGCAGAGTGGTTACAGCCTGTGGTATTTTGTAGCAGTGTAAACACCCTAAGACGGTCCTGGTCCTGTCCGGCCGTCAGGCCTAGCCGTGGTCAGGCGTGTCTATTCCCATGGCGGCCGCCGCCTCCTCCTCAGAATCCGCTGATGCTCAAACCACTTTGAAAGGGCAGCCTTACAAAATTAACAGGAAGATACCTAATCCCACAATCTCCTAGTAACAGTTAAAGATCAATCCTGCCAGTTCTCTCGCTCACAGGCACCCCGCGGGAGTTCCGCTCTGCACAACTTCTGAAAAGAGCCGAATAGACCAACAGACAGAAAGAGATGTGGAGCTCTCTCTTTCAAAATTGCCTTTGAGAGTCTGCTTTTTTACAGTCTGAAAAGTTCTCGAGTGAACGTGCGAGCTTCAGGCGGCAGCCATGTCTGGAGGGCACAGTCACATCTCCTCCAATAATCCCATCTTGGAGGAAAGGCCACGGAGCCAACTCTTGGGCGTTGACGTCCTGCCACGGTTTCTATTCTCAGCTGCCACCGAGAAGAAAGAAGATGCCAGTGCGGCAGTTTGCAGTGCCCTGTTCATTTGGCTATGGCGGTAAACCTTCTTCACCCCCTAAATAAAAACCCTAAATACCTGGTTCTCTCTGCCAACATTTTCTATCTCTTTCGCTTCTGTGTTGGCCCTTTAACCACCCAGGAGAAAGTAAATACACTTCTTTTCTTTATCCTAAACTTTGTCTGGAGAGATCTTTCTCAAAACCCGTGTGCACTAGTGCAGTGATGGGAACGGCTTGTGGCCCAGTGCCCAGAGACAGAAAAATCAGAAACAACCTGAGAATAACAGGACGGCTGAATACATTATCCTGAATAAGTATGAATGAGTATGTTGAATAAGTATACTGAATAAGTATGTTGTATGAATACCTTCATACAACAAAATATTTGGCCGCCATCAAAAAGATTGCTTTTTAAAAGATCACTGATGAAAGCTAGGTGCAGTGGCTCACGCCTGTAATCCCAGCTACTGGGGAGGCTGAGGTGGGAGGATCGCTTGAGGCCCAGGAGTTCCAGATCAGCCTGGGTCACAGAGCCTGAAAAAAAAAAAAAAAAAGAATCATTGATGACTTGGGGCAATGCTCATAATACCATGTGGCATGAACACAGTGGCAAGTGAACCTGATTTAGAAACTGTCTAAACCTTATTTTCCTGCATGTCTCCTTAAGAGAAAGAGGGCACAAGAGGAGTGTCCTGGGGACCCAAGACTCCCTTAAAAGGCTTTTATTATTTAAAGCCTAAATTCCCTGGGACAGAGAACTGGAGCGTCCTTGATCCACCCAGCCCTGGAGACAGGGAGCCCTCACCATGGGACTCTCTTAGGGATCAGGAGAGACTGAAGACCTGGGACTTGGAGTCAGAGTTAATCTTGTTAAAAATGAATAGGAGGCCGGGCGAGGTGGCTCACGCCTGTGATCCTAGCACTCTGGGAGGCTGAGGCGGGCGGATTGCTCAAGGTTGGGAGTTCGAAACCATCCTGAGCAAGACCCCGTCTCTACTAAAAATAGAAAAAAATTAATTGACCAACTAAAAATATATATACAAAAAATTAGCCGGGCATGGTGGCGCATGCCTGTAGACCCAGCTACTAGGGAGGCTGAGGCAGGAGGATTGCTTGAGCCCAGGAGTTTGAGGTTGCTGTGAGCTAGGCTGACGCCACGGCACTCACTCTAGCCTATGCAACAAAGCGAGACTCTGTCTCAAAAAAAAAAAAAAAAAAAAAGAAGTGAGCAGAGCTCTTGTTTTCCCTGTGAAAGATGATTCCCTATGAAAGCAGATTTCAGCTGCTGGGGGGTTAGGAGGGAGGTGGGGAGGGTGGGAGGGGGCCCAGGATGCTAGAATTGGTGGGGCCGTGGAGACCTCGTATCTAAGGCAACAGAAGACAAGCACCTGGCCCTACAGGTGGCAACACCCAGGACAGACCCCAGTCCCACTTTCTTTTTCTAGCATTTTTTTCCAACATTATTTTTTTAATTTCAAGCAAACCCAAAGTTGAAAGAATTTTCAGTGAACACCTGTGTGTACATCCACCACCAGAATCCCCCATCCACTGACACGTGCAGGTACTTGCTTTATCCCGTTCCCAGAATAGTCAGCATTTTCCCCATCTTCCCTCTCTCTGCCCTAAACCCACTGAATTCAGTCACTGGGGCTGTGCTAACAGAATGGGACTACAAGCATGTGCCACCATGCCCGGCTAATTTTTTTCTATATATATTAGTTGGCCAATTAATCTTGCTCAGGCTGGTTTCGAGCTCCTGACCACAATCTGGGGGCTATTTTCTTGCAGTTCCAGAGGCTGGAAGTTCAACCAAGATCAAAGTGATGATGGCAGTGACAAAGTGGGTTCCTTCTGAGGCCGTCTTCTCCTCCCTGTGTCCCACGTGCTCATCCTTCTGTGTGCGTCTGTGTCCTGATCTCCTCTTCTTTTTTTTTTTGAGACAGAGTCTCCCTTTGTTGCCCAGGCTAGAGTGAGTGCCGTGACGTCAGCCTAGCTCACAGCAACCTCAAACTCCTGGGCTCAAGCAATCCTCCTGCCTCAGCCTCCCGAGTAGCTGATACTACAGGCATGTGCCACCATGCCCAGCTAATTTTTTCTATATATATCAGTTGGCCAATTAATTTCTTTCTATTTATTGTAGAGATGGGGTCTCGCTCTTGCTCAGGCTGGTTTCAAACTCCTGACCTCGAGAAATCCGCCCATCTCGGCCTCCCAGAGTGCTAGGATTACAGGCGTGAGCCACTGTGCCCGGCCTCCTCTTCTTATAAAGACACCAGTAATATTGGATTAGGGCCTGCCCATGGCCTCATTTTAACTTAATCACTCTTTAAAGACCCTGTCTCCAAATACAGTCACATTCGGAGTTTCTGGAGATTAGGGTTTCAACCATATGAATTTGGGGGGCACACACTTCAGTCCATAACACTGATCACAATCAGAAACTGAAGTATATTTTGAAATATTCCCCATTTTTTTGAAAGACATTTAAGGCTTCTTGCTCTTAAAAATCAGATGAGTTTAAAAATCAGATGAGTTGGCCGAGCACAGTGGCTCATGCCTATAATCCTAGCACTCTGGGAGGCTGAGGCGGGAGGATTGCTCAAGTTCGGGAGTTCAAGACCAGCATGAACAAGAGCGAGACTCCGTCTCTACTAAAATAGAAATAAATTTTCTTTTTTTTTTTTTTTTTTTTTGAGACAGAGTCTTGCTTTGTTGCCCAGGCTAGAGTGAGTGCCATGGCGTCAGCCTAGCTCACAGCAACCTGACTCCTGGGCTCAAGCTGTTAGGGACTGACCTTCTACAGCCCCACCGGACAGAAAAGCAGAGACATCGAAGATGTAATTACACAAGAGGAGGTTTATTTTCTGGCTAGCCAGGGTCCAAGCCCTAGAGCACCAACGCAGTGGCCACTCTTGCAGGCAAGGACCCCGACTGGGGTTGCAGCGTGCCTTTTATCCCTATGGTGCATACTATGGTGCATACGCTATGCAGTGGCTGATCACGCGTGGATCATGCATTGACCTTTAACATGATTGGCTGGCTGGTAGCCCCACTATACAGGAGTTCAAACAATGCAAAGTTGGCGCAAACAAGCAAGCAAGCAACGGTTTCCATGGCAAGCAAGCAACAGTTTCCAGAAGCCGGATGTTAAGTTCCGGGTTTCCACTGGGGGGGGTGTGGGCCTTGCAGGTATGCAAATGTCTTGACCCCCTCACAAAGCAATCCTGCTGCCTCAGTCCCAAGTAGCTGGGACTAAGGCATGTGCCACCATGCCGGCTAATTTTTTCTATATATATTAGTTGGCCAATTAATATTTCTTTCTAATTATAGGTAGAGACGGGTTCTCGCTCGTTGCTCAGGCTGGTTTCAAACTCCTGACCTTGAGCGAATCCGCCCCTCGGCTCCCAGAGTGCTAGGATTACAGGCCGAGCCACTGCACCCGCCTAGAAAGAAATTTTCTATATAAAAATATATACAAAAAATTACACCTGGGACATGGTGGCGCATGCCTGTAGGTCCCAGCTACTCGGGAGACTGGGGCAGGAGGATCGCCTGAGCCCAGGAGTTTGAGGTTGCTTGTGAGGCCAGGCTGACCACCATGGCACTCTAGCCCAGGTAAACAGAGCAGGACTCTGTCTTGGAAAAAAAAAATCAGATTTAAAGATTTATGGCCAGGGCCCGTGTGCGGTCGGCCTCACGCTTGTAATCCTAGCACTGCTGGGAGCCGAGGTAGGGGATTCTCGAGCGTCAGGAGTTCAAAACCAGCCTGAGCAAGAGTGAGACCCTGTATCTACTATAAATAGACAAGAAATTAATTGGCCAACTGAATATATATAGAAAAAATTAGGGGCATGGTAGCGCATGCCTGTAGTCCCAGCTACTCGGGAGGCTGAGGCAGGAGGATCGCTTGAGCCAGCGGAGTTTGAGGTTGCTGTGAGCTAGGCTGATGCCACGCACTTACTCTAGCCTGGCAACAAAGCGACGACTCTGTCTCAAAAAATAAATAAAGATTTAAAGATTTAAAAATCAGAGTTAAAGCACTTTTAGGTTGCATTCTTGAAAACAAAACCCACACATACTAATTATATTTACTTTTTGTTGTGTCAACCTAATAACAGAGACTCTCCAAAAGAAAATATGTATTTTCAGTAAATGCAGTAACAGGAACACAGAGCATTGTAACGGGACACATGTGTCATAGTAAACCTTTTGCGTATTCAGAGACGGAAAGGAGGACAAAGATCTTCAGAGAAAAATGGGAAGGATTGCATAATTGTTTTGAGATAATTATCTTTGGCACAAAGACCAATAACAAGGGTGACGTAAGTCCGAGCTTGTACAGGCAGTGGCTGGGTAGATATCCCTGCAGAAGTATTTTTTGGGGGGAGGTTTTGATGGTCTTTTTGCAAGGTTGCAGTTTCTGTAGAGTCTCTTTGTGATGTTTTTGTTATCAGGTATTTTGCATGAGAATCTCTTCATAGCCTTCCTCAGCTTTATTTGTCAGGATTTTTTTTTTTTTTTTTTTTTTTTTGAGACAAAGTCTCACTCTGTTGCCTGGGCTACAGTGCTGTGGCATCAGCCTAGCTCACAGCAACCTCCAACTCCTGGGCTCAAGCAATCCTTCTGCCTCAGCCTCCCGAGTAGCTGGGACTACAGGCATGCGCCACCACGCCCAGCTAGTTTTTTCTTTTTTTTTCCTTTTTCCTTCTTTTTTCTTTTTTTGAGGACCAGATGTCTCCACTTTGTTCGCCCAGGCTAGAGTGAGTGACCATGCGTCAGCCTAGCTCACGCAACCTCAAACTCCTGGCGTCAAGCGATCCCTTCTGTCTCAGCTCCCACCAAGTAGTGGGACTACAGCGGCATGCCGCACCAAAAAAAAAACACACAACGAAAAACAAAAGAACATAAAATAAAAAAACAAAAAATTATATTGGCAATTAGTTTCTTTCATATTTATAGTAGAGACGGGTCCTCGCTCTTTGGCTCAGGCTGGTTTCGAAACTCCTGACCTCGAGCCAAATCCGCCCGCCTCCAGCCTCCCAGAGAGCTAAGGATTACAGGCGTGGAGCCAACCGCCCGGCCTACGTTTTTCTATATATTTTTTAGTTGGCCAATTAATTTCTTTCTATTTTTAGTAGAGATGGGGTCTCGCTCTTGCTCAGGCTGGTTTCAAACTCCTGACCTTGAGCGATCCTCCCGCCCCAGCCTCCCAGAGTGCTAGGATTGCAGGCGTGAGCCACCATGCACGGCCAGGATTTTTTTTTTTAATAACACAAATGACTCCGTTTCGATTCTGACAATTTTCCCAGCATCTTCATTTTCACTGGTGGTTCGGGGCTTCTCAATTGAAAATGCGGAGTGTGTTCTTCACCCCACGGTGGAGACAAAGCGAGAGCTGACAAATTTCCATTGCGTCTCCCGGGAACACTGTCAGCTGCTGCCGACACCTGGCGGCTCCAACTGTAGCCCCTGCAAGCCTTGGCCACTGGGCTTCTCTGGCCACCAGAGCCCTTTGGATCCCTTTGCAGGACAGACCAGAAGGGCCAGGGAGTTAGTGACCTGCTTCTCACTACTCACTGGGGACAACTCCCAGGGGGAGCTCCCCAGTCTCCCAGGTTCCCCCAGGGACATGAGCCCCATGTACCCACAGCTATAACATGCTCAATAGCAACCCCCTTCAGCCGCCTCCCCTTCCCTTCTTCCCATCTTCCCACCTGGGTGCTTCTCGGTTTTACTTCCCAAAGAAGGTACTGGCACCACATTCTTGTCTCAGCATCTGCTTCCGGGCGCCTCCATATAAGAAAGGCTGCGCCTGATACATTTCTGCTTATTTCTCTTTTCCTAGTGTAAATTCCAGGGCGGGGGAAGGTCTGTGATGGTTAAGTATATGTGTCAACTCGGCTGGGGAATGGTGCCCAGATATTCGCTTTTGCATGTTTCTGTGAATGTGTTTTTTGGATGATTTTAACATTTAATTTGATGGACTTTGAGTAAAGCAGATCACCCTCCACATGTGGGTTGGCCTCATCCAACCGGTCCAAGATCTAAATGGACCAAAGAGGCCGGGCACAGCGGCTCCCGCCTGTGATCCTAGCACTCTGGGAGGCCGAGGCAAGAGGATCGCTTGAGGTCAGGAGCTCGAGAGCAGCCTGAGCAAGAGCAAGACTCTGTTTCGACTAAAAATACAAAAATTAGCCAGGCGTCGTGGCACACACCTGTAGTCCCAGTGAGGCAGGAGGCTCGCTTGAGCCCAGGAGTTTGAGGTTGTAGTGACCTAGGCTGATGCCATGACACTCTAGCCACGGTGACAGAGCAAGACTCTGTCTCAAAAATAAATAAATAGGCCGGGCGTGGTGGTTCACGCCTGTAATCCTAACACTTTGGAAGGCCGAGGCGGGCGGATTGCTCAAGGTCAGGAGTTCGAAACCAGCCTGAGCGAGACCCCGTCTCTACCAAAAATAGAAATAAATTAATTGACCAACTAAAAATATATATAGAAAAAATTAGCCGGGCATGGTGGCGCATGCCTGTAGTCCCAGCTACTCGGGAGGCTGAGGCAGCAGGATTGCTTGAGCCCAGGAGTTTGAGGTTGCTGTGAGCTAGGCTGACGCCAGGGCACTCACTCTAGCCTGGGCAACAAGCGAAACTCTGTCTCAAAAAAAAAAAAAAAAAAACCAAACAACAAAACAATAAATAAATAAATAGCCTTTTCTCCAGGTGGCCAGAAAGACGGTAGACATTCAGACAGCAAGTGCCTACTGAAAACAGCCGCCACCTTTCAAAACGAGAATAAGGTCCTGCTGGGAGAAACTGGCAAGGAGAAGCTTCCTCGGTACTACAGGAACATCGGGCTGGGCTTCAAGACTCCCAGAGAGGCCATCGAGGGCACCTACGGTGACGAGAAATGCCCCTTCCCTGGTAACATCTCCAGCCGAGGGTGGATCCCGTCTGGGGTGGTGACCCAGATGGAGATGCAGAGGACCATTGTCATCTGCCAAGACTATCTCCGCTACATCCGCAAGTCCAATCGCTGTGAGAAGCGCCACGAGAACATGTCTGTGCACCTGCCCCCCTGCTTCAGGGACGTCCAGGTTGGTGACGTCGTCACAGTGGGCGAGTGCCGGCCCCTGAGCAAGGCGGTTCGCTCCCACGTGCTCAAGGTCACCGAGGCTGCCGGCACCAAGAAGCAGTTCCAGAAGTTCTGAGACGGGGTGCCTGCCCACTCCCCCAAATGAAATAAAGTTATTTTCTCATTTAAAAATAATAAATACATAAATAAATTTGTTTTTTTAAATGCCAATAGGCCAAAGACTGAAGTCCCTGGAGCAAGAAGGAATTCTGCCATCAGCAGTCTTGAAACTCAGACTGCATCTCTTCTCTCCCCTGCAGGGCTTAGGCTTGCCAAGCCTCCACAGTCAAATGAGCCACTTCTTCAAAATAAATCTCTCTCTCTCTTTTTATCTATCTACATTTAGCTCCTGTTGGTTCTTTCTCTGGAGAACCCGACTAACACGGGGTCAGAAATAAGGAGACAAGCTGGGCATGGTGGCTCACACCTATAATCCCAGCACTTTGGGAGGCCAAGGCGTGAGGATCACTTGAGGCCAGGAGTTCAAGACGAGCCTGGGCAAGATAGTGAGACTCTGTCTCAAAAAAGAAAAAAAGAAACAAAGAGAAAGAGGCTTCTACTCATTATACTTTAAGAATATCTTTTTTTGCAGCCTGAGAAAGAGTGAGACCCCGTCTCTACTATAAATAGAAAGAAATTAATTGGCCGACTAATATATATAGAAAAAATTAGCCGGGCATGGAGGCGCATGCCTGTAGTCCCAGCTACTCGGGAGGCTGAGGCAGGAGGATTGCTTGAGCCCAGGAGTTTGAGGTTGCTGTGAGCTAGGCTGATGCCACGGCACTCACTCTAGCCTGGGCGACAAAGCAAAACACTGTCTCAAAAAAAAAAAAAAAGAAAGAAAAAAAAATGAAGAAAAATATCTTTTTTGGCCCGGGCGCGGTGGCTCATGCCTGTAATCCTAGCACTCTGGGAGGCCGAGGCGGATCGCTTGAGCTCAGGAGTTCGAGATCCGCTTGAGCAACAGTGAGACCCTGTCTCTACTAAAAAAATAGAAAGAAATTAGCTGGACATCTAAAAAATACATATATATAAAAATTAGCTGGAAATAGTGGTGTATGCCTGTAGTCCCAGCTACTAGGGAGGCTGAGGCAGGAATATTGCTCAAGCCAGGAGTCTGACGTTGCTGTGAGCTAGGCTGACGCCACAGCACCCTAGCCCAGGCAACAGAGTGAGCCTCTGTCTCAAAAAAATATATATATCTTTTTTTTTTTGAGACAGAATCTGGCTCTGTTGCTCTGGCTAGAGTGCCATGGCGTCAGCCTAGCTCACAGCAACCTCAAACTCCTGGGCTCAAGCGAGCCTCCTGCCTCAGCCTCCCAAGTAGCTGGGACTACAGGCATGTGCCACCATGCCCGGCTGATTTTTATATTATATATATTAGTTGGCCAATTAATTTCTTTCTATTTTTATGGTAGAGACGGGGTCTCGCTCAGGCTGGTTTTGAACTCCTGACCTTGAGCAATCTGCCCGCCTGGGCCTCCCAAAGAGCTAGGATTATAGGCGTGAGCCACCGCGCCCGGCCTAGATTCTTCTTTCTTTGCTTCCACTTTCTTTTCCTCAGTTGGGGCAGCAGCAGTGGAGGGGCAGGACCTCCTGCTGGGGCAGGTCCACCAGCCCCTACCTTGCAGATGGTGCTCCCCATGTCGACATTGGCCAGGGCCTTTACAAACAAGCCAGGCCAGAAAGGTTCAACATTTACACCAGCTGCTTGTATAACGGCATTGATTGATCTTATCCTCCGTGACGGTCACCTCATCCTTGCACAGAATGAGGGCCGAGCAGATGCAGGCGAGCCCGGAGACGGAGGCCATGGCGCGGGCGAGTACAGGGCTGGCGCTGCCGGGCGCGGTGCAGGTGGCCGGATGAAGTGAAGGCCTCACCCCAACTCGGCCTTAGCTTCCTCGGAAGAACCGAGCACCTTGGCGGCAGCTGCGGAAAAAAAAAACTACATATCTTTTTTCATGTTGGAAGCAAGAGAGACTTCACTTGACCAGTTTTGGTTTTTTAATCTCTCTCTCTCTGTAAGCCCAGGCTGGTCCTGGAGGCTACAGACCTGCTAGATACCTCCTGCAAGAACAAAAACAGCTCTGCCTGCCACAAGGTGACACTTAGCATATACAATCCTATTTCTGTTTTCAAGTTTTAAAAAAATGATCTTGTTGTTAGCCAGGCTGCAGGTCCAGCAAGAATTATGGCAAGATCTCCTCTGTGCTAAAAGCTAGAAGACAAAGGGTGGCACAGGTTCCGATTTGGCACGAAGTATTGTCCAAGAACAGACAGGGCAAGACAAAGAGGGGTGTGTTTAGGATTGCTCAGCCCCGTCCCCAAGGGAAGAACGCTTTGGAGGACAAGGTCAGTCTTTGCAACAAAAGACAACATTTCAAGCATTAATTCAGGAGTTTTGCATCCATGTTGCACTATTCCAACTTGAACTTTGGAAACATCTGAGGCCTTTCCCTGTTTTCCTTCTCTAAACAGGCCCCAGCAAGCTGAGACTGAATGAGCCTTATTTCTAAAAATAATCCCAACTTGGATCTCTGAGCTGATTCTCTCTGTGGGATACCAGCAACCATGCTGGGGGAAAGGCAAAGGCAGGACTCGGGGAGCCAAAGCCTGCTGGGAGTGACCCTTCCCAACTTCAGCAAGGACAGTGGTAGGGAGCAGCTGTCGCACTGGCCTCTGGAAAATCCGAAATGGAATCACAAGGTACAGACAGGGACCTCGTGTACAACGGGGCTCTCAGTAGCTCTTGGTGGAGCCATTTCATGGTGTCCCGAATACCCACCCATCACACCATCGAAGACTTTGGTTCCAGCGGAAACCATCCAGTGCTTTCTAGTGCCTTCTCCCCGTGCACTGCAGAAGCTCCTGCCAAACCAGAGACGTCTCCTAGCCCATTCGGCCAGCTTCACCTCGGTCCTGGCAAGATGGGGTGAAAGAGAAAGGACACAGAGGGAGGAAAAGGTCCAGGCCCATAGAGGCCGAGAAGATGGGCGATGAGCACCAAGAGACAGATTATAACAAACCGTGAAGCAAGTAATTCAGGAAGTCACAAGGCTTTTGGCTCGAGTGTGCCAAATTTGTCAGGTTCAAGGGGATCCATGTCCATAACAGCTCAAACCCCAGCCACCACCATGACCACCGATAGCTTCGATCCGTCCAGAAACTGGGGCCCCACGTGTCACTTACTGCCATCAGGGGCACCCCATGACGCTGCAGGTGGAAAGGTCTCAGCGCTGTCCTGGCAGCCAGTCTTCAGGAGCACACGTGTGGCCTCAAGCCAGCAATTAGGCGACCACGACCTCAGACAGCTCCTCTGCGGGGGAGACGTGAGAATACTAACTCCTGCCTCGCAGGCTGCCTGAGGGTCAGTGAGCTAGGCAGGCGGACAGGGCCTGGCACACACACGCTGTTAGGTGAAGGGAGATGGGAAATATACTTATTTTTTATTTTATTTTTTTGAGACAGAGTCTCACTCACTCTGTTGCCCGGGCTAGAGTGAGTGCCGTGGCGTCAGCCTAGTTCACAGCAACCTCAGTCTCCTGGGCTCAGGTGATCCTCCTGCCTCAGCCTCCCGAGTAGCTGAAACCACACGCTTGCGCCACCATGCCCAGCTAATTTTTTCTATGTATATTTTTAGTTATTTGGCTAATTTCTTTCTATTTATATTGAGACCGGGGTCTCGCTCTTGCTCAGGCTGGTCTCTAACTCCTGACCTCGAGAGATCCTCTTGCCTCGGCCTCCCAGAGTGTTAGGATTACAGGCGTGAGCCACCACACCCGGCCGGAAATATACTTATTTATTAGTCGGGAGCCACGGCCGCTATGTTAGACAATAATTCAATACAGGGAGTGGGTCAGGCAGGACAGAGCCGCAGAAAGCCGCCTCTCGATTCTCGGAGAGGGAGAGAGTGTGACAGCCACGCTGTCACCTGTGGCTGGGGGGACAAGGAGGAGGGGGTCGGGAGATGCCCGGGGGTGTCCCACGGAGCTGGGACTCAGACTCGGAGGAGGGGCACTGCCCAGCTGCCGCCGGCATCTGAGGGGCGCAAGAGCCTGGCTCTGGGAGTGCAGGGAAGCTGGCACCAAATGTCTCCATTGCCAGTAGGCGCCTTGGGCGACCCTCGGGACTCTCTCCTCCCCAGGCCTCGCGGGTCCTTCTGGCGCCCCCTGGTGGCCGCGCCGGGCAGGGCGCAGCCGAGTCCCCACCATGTCGCAGGATCCGGGGGCGTAGGGAAGAAAAATGTTTTGCCCAGCGACCACAGGTTTTTAGCTAGACCGGCGCCTGTATCAAAAAGGCAGATTAACAAGACAGAAACAGACATGTGTCGGCATGCACTTTTCCTAGGCACACGGGAGACGCCCAGGGACTGAGTGGTTCTCAAGGAGGCGGCTTTGAATCCCAGCGTAGGTCGCATCTTCAAAAAGGAACAGTAAATGTTTACAGAGGTCACAAGACAAAGGAAAAGGACTCCCGAGTCTCCAGGGCGGCAGCGTGGGGGAAGGCAAATCGTTGGCAGATAAGGGCTAGTTAGGAAAGCTCCTCTGTGTGGACTTTCCTGGCACTGCCCCCACTGGTGGCCTCTGATCTCTCTGCTAGACAGGGGAGCAGGGCTGTCCTCTCTGCCTTTGTGAACCAAGTCTTGCTTTTAGACAAATACAGGCAAGGCAGAACTTTCCTGTACCTGCTGCTGCTTCTTCTTCTTCTTCTTCTTCTTTTTTAGAGACAGAGTCCCACTTTGTTGCCCCAGCTAGACTGCCGTGGCGTCAGCCTAGCTCACAGCAACCTCAAACTCCTGAGCTCAAGCGATCCTCCTGCCTCAGCCTCCTGAGTAGCTGGGACTACAGGCATGTGCCACCATGCCCGGCTAATTTTTTCTATATATATATTTTTTAGTTGGTCAATTAATTTCTTTCTATTTATAGTAGAGACGGGGTCTCGCTCTTGCTCAGGCTGGTTTCGAACTCCTGCCCTCGAACAATCCACCCGCCTCGGCCTCCCAGAGTGCTAGGATTATAGGTGTGAGCCACCGTGCCGGGCCTACCTGCTTCTTCTTAATTGCCTTCAGCTCAACCGTCCTTCATAGTCTGGGTGGCATGTTCTGGGCTCCAGAGTACGGTCTG